TATATATATATATAAAAAAAAACAAAATGTAATAGTGATACTGAACCATAGTTTCTGAAATACTTTAGTGTTGTTTGTGTCTGGGTCACCATGACTGTATCCAGTTTGTAACCACAGTCAGGGATGAGAAGGCCAGCCGTCAAATAATTCACGTGCTAATCACTGTTTCAGTAAGACCAGCACACTTGAATGAGAAAGTGCTACATGGGAAGGATACATCGGGCACAGGGGAGAGAGGGAGAAGCTACAAGCACTACACCCTCATGCAGAGCTTTGTACTGAGCACGGTAGTGAATCCTTAGAGGACGGCTATGAAACCCGCAGAAAACAGCAAAGCAAAGACAAACAACAATGAAACATTTTGACACGAGTACAGTGGTTTTGCCCGTTAGTTTCTTGGCAGACTTTGACAGCAAAAGGCACTGAATGCTTGAGCATATCATAAAATCAAACCCAGAAAAGCAAAGTCATGAGAATCTTGATGTGAATTTGGTCATTTGCTGCACTAGGAAGCTGTGAGGTTTGAAGTCTTCATAATTAATGTTTAAATACCAAGCAAATGGTTTCTGTACATAAGACACTGCTTTCAAACAGAAACAGGTTCCATTTACAGAATGAGCAGAATAATGAAACCTCCTGCACAATCCAAACAATACAGCCATCAAACCATTTCTTTTTGGTAGTGACTAAACTGGGCCTGCAGCACCAAATATCTAAAACTGTTGAGATCCATTACTCAGTTTACTACGTTATTTATAGCTGCTTGGGTTTAGATGTTTAACAAGTGAGAAGTTTTTTTAATTTTTTTATAAAGGCTTTTGTAGAAATACTTCAACATCCTTTAAAATATTAAAACTGTTACATTTAGGTGAAATCCTCCTCAGCCCAACAAAGACAGAAAGATGTTGATGGAACATTGGTTCATTGGTGATTTTAAGGCTGAACATTGGATTTTATTCTTTTCTACTTTAAAATTATTGTTTTTAAATCAAACACAATCGCACACAGCCTATATCTGCCTAAGTTATGCTTTCAACATACTCTGGTTTCTTACTCTTTCTCATATCATGACAAAAATCTGAATCCGAGTTGGTTCTTGATGCTACCTAACAAACATGCAAAGCCACTGGGACGACCATTCAAAAGCAGCAACCATAGCTTCACTGGAGCTATGACACCACAATATCTAATTAGTGGTATTTACTGATGTGTCTATTTCTGTCCCCGGTCTGTGTAAATGTCTGTCCACAGTGGGGGCAGGAGTACGGTCTCTCCCCTGTGTGTGTCCTCATGTGAACATTCAGTTTGTCTTTGCTAATAAAGCGTTTGCTGCAGCAGGTGCACGCGTACGGCTTATCACCCGTGTGATACCGCTGGTGCATCTTCAGCTCCGTCATGCGGCCATAAGTCCTGCCGCACTCAGGACACTCGTAACTGGGCCGCACCTCCATGTGCTGTCTGCTGTGCAGCCGCAGCCCGCTGGACGACCTGAAGCTCTTGCTGCACTGTGAGCACTGGAAGGGCTTCTCGCCGGTGTGGATGTGGGAGGGGAAGCCGTTGCCGCAGATGGAGCAGAGGTGAGGTCTCTCCCCTGTGTGAATGCTCAGGTGCTTCTCCAGCTTGTTCCTGTTCAAGAAAGTCCTGCCGCAGATGGGGCAGTTCAACGGCTGCTCTCCCTCGTGTGAGCTCATGTGTTCTGTCAGCTCCAGCAGCGTGGAGAACGCGTAGTCACACCGGGTGCAGGAGTACGGCCTCTCCTGCTTGAATTTCCTGTGTTTGAAGCGGTGCTGCTCGAGGTCTTCCTTCTCCTCAAAGGTCTCAATACAGCAGGTGCACTGGTAGGGTCTTTCTTCCGTATGAGTTCGCAGGTGATATTTCAAAGCTGTTAACTTTAGGAAGACGCTGTCACAGTGTGGACATCTGGATTCTCGCCTGCTATGGACCATTATGTGTCTCTTGTAGTGAGACAGTTTGCTGAAGCGTTTGCAGCACAACGAACAATAATACAGTTCGTTTTCATGGCCTTGCTCATGTTTCTTCAGTGCATACTCAACCTTAAACTTCTTCCCACAGGTGCTGCAGGTGTAAGACTTCTCATGAACCCCCATGTGCGTCTCCAGTTCTTCTGGACTGTTGAAGGTTTCGTTACATTTCGGACAAGTCCCATTGTTTTCTTTCACATGAATCTCCAGGTGTTTGTTCAGGTCTTCCGGGAAGGCAAAGTTCTTCTGACAATCAGGGCACGTGTAAAATTCGCCATTTGTTGCTTTGCGATGGGTCACTATGTGCCTTTTCAAATGATACATTCGACCAAATACCTTGCCACAATCGCCGCAGATGAGGCTTCGAGGACTAGAATCGACCTTCTTGTGTAGTTTAAGGTGACTGGCGAGGGCAGATTTCTCCTTGAACTGTTTATCACATGCAAGACATGTCAGGCCCTCAACTGCGTGAGTCTTCTTGTGAGCTTTCAGTTCCAGCCACGTACTCACATTTTTCCCACATTTAGAGCAGATGTACTGGCCCAAGCCGTGCTGGTTCCTCACGTGTCGGGTCATGTGATAGGACTGGCTGAAGGTCAAAGAGCAGACCGGGCAGGTGAACGGTTTCTCCTTTGTGTGCGTCCTCATGTGTCTGGCAAGTTTGTTCGGCCCTCTGAAGCGCCTGCCAACACAGATGGGACAGAAATGGCCTTTTGTTTTAGTCTTAGAGGTGGCCTTTTGTTTCTTACTGCCTCCATCTTGAGACCGAGCTTCATCAGAAGCCTTGTCTTCTGTTTTAACGTTAACTTCAGATGCCGTGTTGTGAGAATTACCATTACCAGAGTCATCTTCATTATCATCTTCAGCAACTATATCATTGCTGTCATCATTCTCGTTATCCTTGTTACTTGAGTCATTTATATCTTGGTTTTTCATCTCATCATTTAGCTGAAGACTTGGTCCCTCTGTCTGGGGAGTAGACTGGTTTTTGTCATGTGATATGATGTGATTAAGGAAAGTGTCGTTGTTAGTGAAGTTTTCATGACAAATCGGACATGACAGAATTTGAGTTGCATGCGTTCTCCTATGAATTTTCAGCTCTGCTAAGCTCCCTAAACTTTCACCACAGGTAGGGCAGACGTGTTGGCCTGCATCATGCTGGTTCCTCATGTGTCGGGTCATGTGGTACGACTGGCTGAAGGCCACCGCACAGATGGGGCAGCTGAAGGGTTTCTCCTTTGTGTGTGTCCTCATGTGTCTGGCGAGCTTGTTTGCATCTCTGAAGCGCTTGTCAATACAGATGGGACAGCAGGGGCCTTTTAGTCTGGTCAAAGACATGACAAAGTCTTCATCATCATCATCATCATCATCGCACTCTTCACCACTATCACTAGATTTGTAGCAGCCTTCCTCCTCCATCTTCTGTGATGATGACGAGGGACAGTTATCTTCACTGTCGCCTTTAGTTCTGGTTTTAGCCAAATTAGTTTCATCAGCGCTCTTAGCGTTATCTTCACCGTTGTCACTGTAATATAACTTATCATTGCTGTAATAGTAGTCGTCTTTGTATCTAGATGATTTTGCTGGTGTGTTAGTTGAGTGTGGTTTTGTTTTTGTCCTTTCCTCCCCACGCCGAGGACGCCCTCTTTTGGCCTTTCTTTGAACAGGAGGGTCTAAATCATCTCCAATATCCACACTGACTTCATGAAAACCAAATAGTTCAGATTCTATTAAAGTAGATTCCACCTCTTTACCAATAACCACCGCCTCAGCCAAGGTCAGAGTTTCCTTCTGCAAGACCAGCCTTTCTCTAAGTTGCGGGGAGTTTGTTTTCTCAATCAGCTGATCCAAGATAAGTTTGTCATGTAAGTCTCCATAGTTGCAAGGCCTCAACAGTTCCTCTAATGCGGACACAAACTGATCTACAGTCTCTCCAGGCATCTGAGCCCTCTGATGGAATTTAAGGCGGCACATCTGCGAGGTGTGATCTGAGGTGAAGTAATCTGTCAGCACTGCGATGGCTGCTGCATATGTGGCTTCTCCTTTGATCAGTGTTGTGAAGACGCGCTGGCCCTCTGGGCCCAAGCAGTTCTGTAAAAGCACACACTTACTGGAGTCGACAAGCTCGTTTTCACCGAGCGCTTCAACGTAGTGTTCAAAAGCTCTCAGCCACTTATGCCAGAAAATAGTTGGCTCACCAGGGACAGGCAGGAAAGCTGGAGGTGGAGACATTATTATCAGAAGTGGCTGTGGGAGCGGCTCCGAGATGTCCTGTTTCATCACTTCCTCATTTACTTCCACAGTCACTTCACCCATTGTTAGTGTTTGCCGTTTTTTTTTTTCTTCACTAAGGCTAATTTTAGTTCTTCTTTGACACAAGAAAGCGTCTCTGAATTAAGTTGTCACCCTCTTTGGTCTGTGTTCAGGCTTCTGATGTATCATCCCACTCAGATAAGCCAAAGAAATCTGTGTAAGAAAAAACAAAAGTTAGTTTCAGGCCGAGTCTTGCATGTCTTTTCTTTGCTACACTGAAATATAAAGGTGTAGTGATGGCCTGAACTGCTCATGCACAAGTTACAAATACTAAAATGCCATAATGTGTGAACTATTATACTAGCACAAAGAAAACACTGACACATAGACATTTGACAAAAAAATAAAGTTTACACAATTTACTGTTGCACTTTAAATGGGGGACTTGCATGACACAAACAAAGAACAGCAGAGGATGTGATATCATGTCAGTGTCCAAAAATACTGCATTCTACATTTTCCATAATGCAATTTAATGGCATTTTTTGTCAGACCCTCTGCTTGGCAATCTACTTCTTTCAATCTACTTCCAGACTGTAACACCAACTTTCTATTATAAATTTGTGAGCTCCAAAGATTTGATTGTGAGGTAGTGTTCTTCCTTCTGGGTGTTTTAGTAGCTTATCCTGCTTCAGGTATGTGAGACTTGACTTTTGACTGCTTCTGTTACTGCTTTTCAAAGTTACAACTAATAACCCTTTTCATATTTACTGTCATTTTGTCTAAAACAATGAAACTTCTAAATGTTTCCTAAACTGCTTGTTCTGTCCAACCAACACAGAATACCATCAGTGAGGTGTCTGATTGGTCTTAACGTTATTCTGCAGCAAGACAACGAACCCAAACATCCAGCTACAGTCATAACTATCTCCAGCAACAAGAACAGATGGTGTGGCCCCTACATGGTTTTGATCACAACACCATGGAGTCAGTCTGGGATTATATGAAGAGACAGAAGAGGTGAATGTAAACTAGCTGACATACCTTTATAAAAAATAAATATGCAGCATTATTTACCTTAGTGTTGTTTGAAAGAATACCATTATAGATTTTTCTGAGATTACACGGTTCAGCCTGCAGTGACTGGGGCCCTGTCAGGGGGGTCGGGGGCCCCCAGGGGCCTACAGGCCAATCAACCATTAACGTTATAGACGTTTCACTGTGGCTGTTGTCAGGGGTCCCAGTGTTTCTTGACCCCTCTCAGTAGAGGCTACTATAAACTGCGATATGAAAATTATACACGCACTGAGTACTACAAAACACAGCGGAATGAACGTGTCAGCGGGTTTGGACCGTCGTTTCATTCAGTCCGAAGTTGTTCATTTTAACAGACAGACACGTCTCTTTATATGTATGAATACAACTGTTGAGGAAAGAAGGCGTTTTGATTTCACTAGTATGAAGCAATAATCGAGGAGGACACGAAAACTCACCAAACCGAACTGGGTCACAAGTCACGACAGACGATCAGTCCGAGTGCGATGTCACGGCCGCGGCAGCCATTAGTGTCAGAAAGCACAGCTCACTGCGGCGGCGCCCGTGGCTTCTCTGACTGCTGGTGTTGCGACAACATACTACAATGCTTGACCAAAAATCAAAGTGGGAAGTAAAAGATATATCTGTCATGCTGACAGTCCTCCTTCCGGACACCGCACCAGTTCTCCGTGGTGTGCGGAACCGCATCACAGCGCCCCCTGCTGGCTCGGAGACACAGGACAACAGCCATAGAGTTGGATTGTTGATTGTTTACCTAAGTAAAAGTAACACAACCGCAGTGTAAAAATACGCTGTTAAAAGTAAAAGTCCTGTATTAAAAATGTCACTTCAGTAAAAGTACAAAAGCATTTGCATTCAAATATGCTTAAAAAGGTTGAGTGCAAAACATGTTTTTACACATAATGTACTAATGTAATTTATCCAAGTTAGTACATTACAAATTTATTGGCAGCTTTTTTGTTAAAATATAATAACATATTTTATACAAGGTTAATACTTCAAGGCCTAGTATGCAGAGTATTTCATACATCACATCAGTGGGGTGACGTTTGTAGTCATTTTGTGTCCCTTCTTTTTGTGTCTATAAGCCTCTTTAGTAGTTTGCAAACAACAAGCAAAATCATTTCAAAATCTGTTCTTGAATATAGACTTGAATATTTCCATTTTATACTACTTTATAACACTGCTCACAGGTCTAGTAAAAAGTGTTCAGTGGTGCACATCAGTTCAGAATTACTTTATGTTAAGTTAGATGTTAAGTCACATCTTTAATGTATGTAATGCAGAAGATGCTGCACAGAGACATATTCAGTCCCAACACTAAAACAGACCACACAGACACACTGTTAAACAAGAACAATTTATTCACACACTGTGTAGGAGTCAACACAAGCATGGCAAGGTGAGACGACCTGCTGGCGAAAGGGCTGGCTGGATGGCTGGAGAATCTTTTCAATTATACGTGTGCAAAAACATACAGATGACTTTTGTTTGCACCAAAACGGAAGTACAAAGTACATGTGTGTGTTTGACTGGCTGTTGGAGTTCAGTTAGGCCTTATGGTTCAAAGTTTACTCACAGTCAAATTGAACAAGAATGACTCTCAAAAATATCCACTACCCTTACTTATTAAGAGCAGCTTATATTTTATGATTCTTGTTACAGTTTCCTGTTAAACCATCAGTGTAGCTCTTAACTCTCTCTGGTACCAAACAGGGTTGAACTTCATACAATAGCACACAAGTAAAAAGGGTCTCCTGGTACAAAATCCTTCTTAAAAATACAAACATGGGTACAATGGCACACTCTACTTAGCTGTGAACAACAGTGACAGTTGAAAAGACTTATAAACTGAGCACAGAGCCATTTATACACGCATGTGTGTACACGCACATGCCACACTCAGACACACATATGCTCAAACTTATAAAAAGTTAAACAAAAAGATAAAATGTGTGGGGTTGGGCTCAGTGCAAGCAGTATGGCTTGGGAGGCTGTGGTAGAAGGAGCTGACACAGGCAGTAGATGGTAAAAAACATGGTTTTCATACATTTCAACCCAAATGCCAACATCACACCTTGTTCTCAGAAACCAACACTCTCACTGAGAGTCCGTCCTTTATCAAGTTCAAAAACGGTGATTATCGATTGTTACTTTTTCTTTTCCTTGGTGTGGTGGTCTTTTAAAGCCGACAGCCCCGTGTCTGTGTACATGAACTAGAAGACGCCCCCCTCCAGCGCTGTCTTTTAATAATTCTCCTCATCCTTGAAGTTGCTCCTCCCAGTGGCAGATACTGAAATGGCGCATCAGAGAATGCATGTGTGTGTATTTGTGCACTTGTGTGTAAATACAGAAAACAGAAGAAGCGTTGTGCAGAAACTCCACTGGAACTCCAGTTCCAGGTTGAATTCCCTCCTCGACATTTACACAGACCGACTCGTCGAGTTCTCAGCTCTTGTTGGAGAGTCTCATGAATAGGCAGCAATATCTGGTGTTATGCCGGTGTGAATGTGTGGAAACAAGAACAGTAACCGTGTGTGTGCGCACAGTGACACGGAGGTGTAAAAGAGTAGGACAGCACACACGCTCATCAACACAGTGAGGATCTTTGTGAACAAGGGGAGAAGGTGAGTAAGAAGTGTAGGTTTAATGCTTTTGGGGCATCTGTCCCACGTCTCCTCATCTCCTCCTCCTCTGGCTCCTCCTCCTTTAGTTCAGACACACACGGGCCCCCTCCTTCATTTTGTGTTTGTATATCAACTTGTGCAGATTGTGTCTCTAGAGTTATACAAATGAGGAGAATCCTGTCACAGGAGTGCGTGACCCCGGCGGGTTGGTGTTGGGGTTGACATGTGTGTGCACAGGTTGCCCTGTGGGTGTGTACGCGCCACCTGTGTTGTGCTGGGTGACCACGGTCTGGTAGTAGGGCTCTGTGTCTGCAGTAGCACATTCATCGTAGCTGAAAGGAGTGCCGATGCCTTTAAGGCCTTTGGGTTGCCGCTTCCAGGAGTTGTAGTAGGTGGGGTCACTCATGTAGTGGTTGACGAAGGAGTGCTTCGGCCGCTCGTCCTCGTAGTCACTGTCTGTTAACTGGATACAAAAACACACACCAAAGGTAAGAGTCAGATGAGACACTATATTTAGTGTCTATCATATTATTTGAGTGTCTAAATTTGAAAATGTTTGCTCACTATGATCCCTCAACAATGAAAAAAGTAGTCTCTATGCCAAGGACACTAGTTTCTGCTAATCCCACGGTGCAATTTTTCTAAAATCTAACAAAAATAAATGAACAAAGCAGTACAGAGGATTGTAAGTTCATTAAGCAAAGGAGTGAAAACAAGATTTTGTTATTAACTGTGGAACAATAGTGAGCTGATAGGAAATGGCAGGAAGTTCTAAGTCATTACACATTCAGCTAAAGTTTCCTCACATTTCTCTGCCTGGCCACAAACCACAGGTGGCTGTGTGCTAGGAACACAGGTTTACAAGAATCTGGTGACATGATATGCATCACGATATAAGGGTTATGATTCGATATGTTGTGATACTGTAAACAAGACGATATATTGGGATTTTTGTAATAGGTTATTAGAGGTGGGCTGGCTAATTTCAGCTCATCAGCACAAGGAGTAACCTTTGTGGTAACGTTACGTTTGCACTGTGTCTGCCACAGTCTGCTAAATCAACCTTAGCTAGGACTGCCAGTTTGCATGTATGTGGTTGTTCTGACTTCAGCTATAGCAGCTGGAGATTTCTGTGAGAGAATAACAGTGGAGCCTTTAGCTGGTTAGCCACATTTGTGCCCAGTCGCTAGCGTTGTGACATGTCTCCTTTTGCATGGGCTTTTCCCCCAGTTGTTGGTATTGTTGTGGAAGTAATGCACATTCATGAATTCTGAGGGGCGTGGTTATGAAACCATAACTGAAATGACTTGTCGATTTGTCTATATAGTCATCATTCCTTTGCTGGAATTGCTGAGTGTAATTACAAGTGGCATTTTTGTCTTGATAGTATGACAGTATCCATCGCTGTGGTTACATGACGTGTGTCTTAACTAGTTGTCGACCATTTACGTTGTCAGGCTGATAAAGCCTTTAAATCAGAGAGAAAGAGAGCGAGAGATAGAGAGAGATAGAGAGAGATACCTCTGACTCAGAGACCTCAGTGGGTTTCTCAGTGAGTGTGGTGCTCTCAGTGTGAACGGCTCCATTATAGTTGTTACAGATGTCCTCGTCAGAGTAGTGAAGACCACCTGGACTGGGCCTGGGAGGAGACCTGTGCGCACACACACATGATTTCTGCAGTGTGTGTGAAAACACTCAATGACCTAATGCATTTCCCAGCCCCCCATGCTATCCTGAACCATCACAACTAAATGTCTAATCCCAACCCTTACCATAAACCGAACCTAAAACCTAAAACCAAGATTTAACCCTCAGAAAAACCTTTGAAGGTGTGAGACCCAGACCTCACAATAATGGCACTGAACAAAAGTTTGTCTACAAAGAAATAAATACACAAAAATGGAGTTACATTAATTTCCTGGAGACTTACATTAACCTTAACCATATCTTCACTCTAAAATTCACCAATTTACGTGGGGGAACCAACATCTGGTTCCCACGAGGAAGGCCGAGTCACCATGAATGTGTAGACAGGTTTCCGTCCACACAGTATGAGTAATACCAGGTGTTGCAGCACACACACACACACACACACACACACACACACACACACACACACACACACACACACACACACACAAACATAAATGTAACTTATTAAAAAATCCAAGGTGAATGAGTGAGCGCTGACCTGGTCCCATTCTTTTTCAGAAAGGAGTTCTTGGTGTTGATGGTTCTGCTGTTGAGCTCCAGAGCAGTGAATCCTCCATTGTCCAGAGTTACAGACTCCTCCGCTGTGGACACGTGCTTCCCTGAAGGAAAGAGAGAAGAAATCAGATTGAATCAATTCAGACAAACACAAAAAACTCTAAGCAGTTCAGTTCAGTTCTCATATGGGATGGTCAAAGAATTTTCCCCACAATTTGTGCTCTCTTTATACACTGACTTTATGTGCCGTCTCATGGTTTATTCACTGTGTATCCAGCTACCTGAGAGTAAGAAGCAAATGAAACTAAGATGCAAATTTGGCACTCAGGCAATAAGCACTCAGAAAAGCTTCATAATTTATCCACAAGTAGCTACAATAAAGGAAACATTGTCATATTTTAAATGGGTTTAAATGTCTTACATCGACTGCTGTTTGGATCACACCAAAGAGCTCAGGATAATTTAAAGTCGTGGCCCTGCCTGCTCTCTCTCCCCTCTGACAGCACCTCCCTCGCTCTATTTGATCGCTCCACTGCCCAGAGGCTGCGCCCAAGTTCTGGTGATTACCAGCTGTCCTGATGTAACCTGTGCTTCTTCTGTATTACATACACATACTCATGAAAAGTGACTGCTATGCCCACAGTGGAGAACCAAAAAAACAAAAACAAAAAAAAGACATTTCATCATAGTTCTTGTTATTAAATGTTAGTTTTTATTTAGTTTTAGTCTCGTTTTTGTTCTTCCACCAAAAGACCAAGGGCAGAGAGCAGCAGTGTCATTTGCACCTTCTTATCAGACATATTCTCGATTCTAAGCAGCTATAAACAGCAGCTGTTTGGAACCAGAGGTGCTTTGTTTATAGCTTATACTTCACCAGTCTAGCTCTTTTTCCTTCTCTTTCCCCTCTTGAATGGTGAGTAGAGATACCGCCACCTGCTGGTAGGGGGAGTTATTTCTGTCACACAGGCACAGAACGTACGTGCTAGTCGACCGTTGGCTGTAGTCGGTGCAGTGTGTTCAAGTATTACTTTTTCATCCTGAGTGGCCGAGACAAAGCTGATGTGAGGCGAGACAACAGTCGGCCTTCGTCCGCTTGATCTGTTTCTGCCCTAACAGCTAATTCATATCTGTAACAGCAACATGCTTGTAAATATAACGACTGTATTTATTTATCCAAAGCTCTGTCACACTGTATATACTGTACAGTATGTGTCTATTAATAGATTGGTTTTTGTCTCATCCTTTTTCACTATATTTCCTTTTTTCATCCTGTTTAAAAGCACAAATATTTTCTTGTTGCCTATGAGGTTAAAAGTCTCTAAACTGTAGCAGCTGCTCTCTTTCCAGTTATGACATTTCATTGCAGGTTTACAAGTTTAGTTTTATATGAATTCTAGTTTTAAGTTCTTTAATTAGCTATCATCAACTGAACTACTACTAAAAATTAATCTGAAATCTTATTTTCTGTATCATCCGAAAGCCATATTCAAAAACCCAGAGAAGTTACAATGGGGCTGCAGTCAGATCATTTGTAGTTCTGTTTGTCCTGAATCATCCTGGTGAGGGAACATGGGTGACCTTGTTTTCATCTCTCAAACAAGTGGCAGAGCTCCTGTAGGAACAAGACTGCTAGAGGCACTTTTGCTCTGTAAAAGTGAGCTGATGCATGTGTCAACTTTTGTGACTCACAAAAGGTGAAGGAACTTGTAATGAATCAGAGGAGGGTACGCATGTTGAGCCTGCCAAATGCGAGTGGAATGATGGAAATGTGACGGAGGATAGAAAAATACTATCCTCGAAAAAAAAAACAAAAAAGCACAACTCAAAACCAGCTGTCACATGATAATCTCCTGGCTGCTATACAACTGGATTAATGCAACATGGGAACCCTGAGGAGCATAACATTACCCGAGACTGAACCACAGACCTGTGCCACAAGCTTTGTACTTGGTGCTGTGTCCATGCAGCAGCAGTGTGAAGACCAGGACCAGAATGAGGATGAGTCCCACCAGAGCCATGACCAGCAGGAACCACCACTCCTCGTAGAAGGGACGCTCCGACAGCGCTGCGAGCAGGGAGAGGGACATACATTGGAGAAAGCTTCTCTTTTGTTTTAGCCCATCTCGATGCTGTAGTTTGTATCACACTCTGTAAATGACACTGTGACTCTTGAGTGACTCTTTAACTGAGACACTTAACTGTCATAAATCCTATATAGTTGACTGAAACAAACTTTCATCTCCCTAGTTAGGTTATTAAGTAAAATGAGATTTAATGATGACTTTGAAGTCACGTTATAGCTAGAGCAATCAGCTCAACTGCAGTTGAATGTCTGTGCCTCTAGATGGCAGCAAAGGCACATAATCACATTAATATCCGACAGTGTATTCAGCAGACTAGAAACCCAAACAAACAAGTTTGATTATACTATGTTTGTTCATTTACCTGAACTCCAACTGTGTGTGCGTGTGCCTCTATTACTCACACTGTGGGCACTGAAATCTGTTTACACACTTCCTCATGGGGATCAAACGCTGGTCCCCACCATGCACATCAGTGAATTTTAGAGTGAGGGCTTAGTTTAAGGCTATGATGAAGTTATGGTTAAGATAAGCCTCCAGGAAATTAATGTAAGTTAGTGTAACTAGACTCAGTGTGTATGTGTGTTTACCAGCAAGAGCAGCGGAGGGTGTACTAGGCTGTCCGTAACCATAGCGATTTACAGCAATGACTCTGAACTCGTAGCTGATCCCAGGCCTCAGGCGCTCCAGTGGCACTGAAACAGACCTACTGCTGGGAGGAAGGAGTCTGATGAAGGAATCCCATATTCCTTCATCTACAGTGGAGGAGAGAGAGAGAGAGAGAGAGAGGGAGGGACAGAGGGACAAGAAAGAGAGGGAGTGATCCATTTGAGAATTAGTCCCTTTCAAATGTCGTGATGTGATTCAAGAAAATTATAAATCGAATGAATGGTTATATTTAAAATGATAACGTGGTGATGACCTGACAATGATCATTACAGGGGTATTACCATTATAATCAGCAGTAGAATTATACCACATCCTGCAGTTTCTGACTGATGTTCACTGAGTGTATTACACCTCTGATAATCTTTATTAGAAAATTGCTGCTGACTTGATTTGCACAGCAGGTCTTGATGAGTCTGGAGAAAGCTGTGTTAAGTGAGGTTTAGCGCAGGGTAGCACTTAACCTCTCTCTTGATTAATGAAAACAATTAGTGCACATGATGAAAAGGTGCCTGTCAAACAAAGTTATGGCTTTTGTTTCTGAGCTTACCTGAGGGGCGAGCTTCAATAACATATCCAGTCACAGGTGCTGCACCGATGTCTCCCTCTGACCAGTGGATATTGAGAGAAGAGGACGTCTTGGTGATGGACATTTCCATCGGCGATCCAGGGGAGCCTGCAGTGTCATAGAGGGACACAAAAGTCCTTGTTACAAAACATTAAATAGTTCAACATTTCAGAACACATTACTGCTGCATTCATGTCATATCATTCAAACTGAGCAGTTGAGTGGGTTAAACCTCTCATGCCAGTCTTGACTTTTATTTTCAAGTCAAGGATTTCAGGGCACTGACTTTATCTCCCATTTGGTGAAATGAAGCACATAATTGCCAACCAACTGTTTGTTCGTATCTGGTTTCACTTGGTAATGAACAGCTGCAGATACATAGCACAACAACAACAACAACAACAACAACAACAACAACAACAACAGGCAATCTAGACTATTTATTTGGTGTGAATACAGGCTGGCACTAGGGTTAACCACCTTGGGTGGATGACTTCCTAAGTCAAAATAAGGAATGTTTTCCAGTGCTTCTCATTCTTAAACTGTACAGCCTAAACCCTAACCTGTACGCTAACATTAATCCGGATCTCATTCTATCCTTAATCACAAGGACGCTTAACCCTTTATATTCCTAAATGGGAACTGAGTCTAAAGCTGACACGATTAGTTGATTAATCACTGAAAGTCAAATTGTTGCATTCTCTTATCAAGCAAAATGCCAAACATTTGGTGGTTTTATCTTCTCAAATGTAAGTACTTGCTGCAATGTTAATGTGGCAGTGAACTGAACATCTGGGGGCGACTGTGGTTCAGTGAGTAGAGCAACTGTCTCCCAACCAGAGGGTTGAATCTCAGTGCCTGCAGTCCACGTGTCGAAGTGTCCTTGGGCAAGACACTGAACCTCCGAGTTTCCCCTGATGGCGCCGCAGATGGCTGCCTCGGTTCTGTACCGGAAACCAATTCCTTGTGTGTAACATACTTGGCCAAATAAAGGTGATTATCTTGGGGTTTTCTACCGCTGGCCAAAAAAGGCAAGATGTTTAGGCTCTTTAGAAATTCTGATGGACATTTTCACTATTTTTTGACCTTTTATAAACATGGATTTTAGAATGGGCCAATCAGGCATAAGCCCAGGGGCCCAAGAAGTCAAGGGGCCCCTAGACCAGAGAACCGTGAAGGGACTGTTAACCTTTCCCTTGGAAAGCCAATTAAATGACTACAAAACAACAAAAAGCCACAGAATAAGAAAAAAAAAAACAGATGCAAGACAACTACAAAATGAAAGACACAGACAAGACACCAAAGGCAGCAAAACAACTACAAAAACATGCCAATCTACAAAAAGAGACACAAAACAACTAGAAAGTGATGAAAAATATGTTTCTAAATGGTTAACACAAGTGCACATGTGCACGTCCATGTCTACCTTGCACAGGCTGGGCAGTGATGTTTGCCTGTATGGGGGGTCCATAGCTGACTGTGAGTGCCTGGACACTGAATGTGTATGTGGCTCCTTTGACCAGGTCCCGAACCTTCAGCCATCGCTGCCAGCTGCCCTTCACATCCACTGTCACAACTTTACTCACTCCTGCTCTCACACAGACAAGTCATAAGAAATGTCAGTTTCCTCCTCGACAAATCTTTCTGCGAGTCTGTGAGCGTGTGCGCATACCTTGTACAGGAGCTGTGGGCTGGTAGATGATCCTGTATCCCTCCACCTGTCCATTAGGAGTGAGTGGAGCTCCCCAGGACACATTGACACTTCCCCCCGTCACCTCTGAGAAGGACAGGTAGCTGGGCTGGCTGGGAGCTGGACGATGACAGGTGCAGTAAGTGTAAGAGGAATAAAGAAGGGAGCAAAGAGGATTTAATATGAAGCCTGGTGGTTTTGTCTGCAGATAACATAACTGTTACCACTCCCTACCAGACTGCAGGGTTCGAGCCCCGCGGGGGTCACTAGGTGGTCCGTCCCCAGCCGTGTTAAAGGCAGTCAGTGTGACCAGGTAAGGCGTGTAGCTGGTCAGGTTGGTGAGATGCACGCTGGTGTCTGGAACAAAAACCACCTTCACCTTCTCAGTCTGGTTCTGCTGGTCCCTCTCCCAGTAGTGGATCTACAACATGGGAAACAAGCACTGTCAACAACACTGGCTCTGTTCTTCCTGTTTCACTTTATTTCTGCCAGTCATATGCATTATTGATTTCAGCCCTTTGCTCCTGATGTCTTCTTATCAATCTGTATAAAATACAAGTGGTCATGTTCTGTTTAACTAGGAGGAGAAAGCTGGTTTAGAGAGATTTGTTTAGGCACTGAAAGTATAACAGAAGAATAAACTAGAGGTTATTTCTTAATGAACACACAAACTGGATGTATACAGTGACCACTTTCTGTTTATTGCCAACATATTTTAATAGAAATTAGGACAACAGATGAATTTAATTTATTTCACACCTAGTGACATGACATAGACAAGCACAATGTTGCGTTCATGCTACATCAGAGATGTCGTAATTACCCATTTCTGATTTGTAAATACAATTAATGTCAACATCTGAGTCACCATCATGACTGTGAAATTGTATGTAGTGCTATATTATCAGTGGACATTATTTAACCCCGCAACCATATGAGATTTGCTCTTTTTAACCATTCAATCAAACCAAACCAAGTAATCAAGCAATCAGAAATTTAGAATAAAATCCCGGTGAAGCATCTTGTGTGTCCCACAGCACATGATGCTTCCAGCCTGTGTACTTGCAGTTGTCAAGTGTGAGAATAAAACAATAATCATGAACATGACCAGTGACTTTCATGCCACTACCAGTAATGAAGACACACAAGCTATTTCAGTCTGTCCTTGTAAGCTTCAACAGAACAAAGGTCACCTGATTAATATGCCCAGTATGATGAGATCAATATCATTATTAAGGTCTCATACTGTGTACAGTAGCTTGTGAATGTCATAACTTAATGATGCCAAAAAAGGCCTTTTTTCAACATAAATCACATTCAAAGCCATGATGAAGCAGGTGACCTTGAGAAAACAATACAGTTTAGAAATCCTGATTGTGTGACATTGTTGTCTAGGTCATATCTCTTAATGTAAACAGGCCCTATAATGAGAGAAAACAAAAGTAATGTGCCTGATATTTTACTGGCAATAAATAGCCTATATAAATGCACATCCAGTAACAAAACCTGTTTCCCCTAATCAACACATCCATACTAGATCTGATTAACAGGTTATGTTCCACAGGCTTTAAAGGTTGCAGTAATTAAACCTCTACTCAAAAAGCCTACTCTTGACTCAGGTGTCCTAGCTAATTATAGACCAATATCCAATCTCCCATTTATTTCCAAAATCCTTGAAAAAGCTGTTGCAAAGCAGTTATGTGACCACTTGCACAAGAATGATTTGTTTGAGGATTTTCAGTCAGGATTTAGAGTCCATCATAGTACAGAAACCACATTGGTGAAAGTCACCAATGATCTTCTCCTAGCCTCGGACAAACACTATGTTTTCACAATTATGTTTTAATTAGAACTGTCACAAGTTTGTGTCACCAGTAAATACCTATATAATGTTTTGCATATAATCAAGTCACATTGGTTTACACCTTAAAAGGTGTAAAAGGAGGGATTTGTTAGGGTGATTTTTATTTTATGCACTTAAGAATGGTTTTATTTTATAACACACATAAGTTTACATACTTATGTGTCACAGTTATGCTTATATAGTTATGAATATCACCCTATGTGTTCACTTAACCATTGGTCAAATATTTGCTGTGTGAGTCACTGAAACACTAATGCAACATCATAAGTCTTGTCCACTAAATTACTGAATTTCCTTAGATTTATGGCTATAGCTAAGGGAGCTCATAGTTACTTATCGTTCCTCTGGACCGGTGGACCCAAAGGCGTCTTGGTACGGTAAGGCTCCAAGATTATTAAAATAGATTAGACGTAGATGAGAAAGCTTCAAAGGGAAAACAGTTATGCACACACGCACACACACACGCAGGCAGAACAGTTTTAATTAAGTGAAAACAAAGGATAAAGTGAGTGTGTATGTAGGAATTAAAGTAGAACAGGTATTCTTCCCCTTCTTAGGGCGCTGTCCACGATGATTGGAGCAGAGAGGACGGACGGACTGAAGGACCAATAACGGGAGAGTTAAGTCTAAACCACGGCTTCTCCCCAACAGTTTTGGACTAATTAGATAGCAACATCTTTTCCTACAAATATTGTATACCACTAAGTTGAGGTCAGTCTTTTCTGTTTTATCCTAAACAGTGAAGATCCATGTGTACATGCTAATTTTGATACGTTAATGCATAATAAATTTCATACTGTGAAATATATATCCTCTTATTAGTCTTCTCCTTTCAAAATAAAAGAACTTTCCTCAACATGTGTCCTCTCTCTCTCCTGTAGTGTCCTCTCTCTCTCTCTCGTAGTGTGTCCTCTCTGTCTCCATCCATCTATACTGCTCAAAAAAAATAAAGGGAACACAACATAAGACATCCTAGATCTGAATGAATGAAATATTCTTATTAAATACCACCACTACCTGTCACTAACTGTGTGTCTCTTCTCTCCTGTAGTGTGTCCTCTCTCTCTCCCTGTACCTTTCTGCAGGTTGCCCTGGCCCTGGAGCTCTATATTTCTGACGAGCAGTCACCAGCCACATCAACCTGACCAGTGTTTGATTGTCTGTTGTGTCTTGTTGCTTTTCTTCTTTCCTCTCTCCTCTATCTACTCACCCCAACCGGTCGAGGCAGAAGGCCGCCCACCAAGAGCCGGGGTCTGTCGGAGGTTTCTTCCGTTAAAGGGAGTTTTTCCTCCCCACAGTCACCAAGTGCTGCTCAAGGGGGATTTGTTGGGTTTTCCCTCTGTAATAATAGTGATAACAGTAAGGTCTAGACCTTACTTTGTAAAGTGTCCTGAGATGACGTTTGTTGTGATTTGGCGCTATACAAATAAAATTTGATTTGATTTGATGTATTAAAAAAGGCTTGGCTGTGGCTCATAGTGGTGCAGGACAGGTGCATAGCCAAGGGAACAATTCTTACACTTATAGACACTTGATTTAAATTTGACTTTTCATAAACTACCAAATTTTGAGAACATATCTTTGTCTTTTAACGTATTAAACAACAGCTGACAGCCCAGCAAAAAGGCAGGTCTGACATGGGAACTGCCTTGACTCTCCCCACACATACTGAACAGCCATATCTGTACACAGTATAGAGCAGAGTCCGAACCAGACCCTTGCCTGTAAGTTTGGCGTCCGAACTCAACCTGAACCCTGCAGGCTGTATATAATGTCCGAACCTGACCCAGATCCAAACATAAGTTCTAAATTTCTGTCCGAACCTGGCCTGAACCCTCGGGTACCGATGGGTCCCATCAGGCTCAGTTAGGGTATCCACACCATAACAGCAAGGCTACAGAGGTGGCTGAGGCTCACACATCAGAAATCAATGTGCAAAAGTATCTTGGATACCATAAAGAGTGTGAAAATAGTTAAGACAGTTGTTCTAGTGCTTCTTCTCATGGTGGATAATTTATTTTGCCTTTCTGTGTGGAGTTTGCGTGTTCTCCCCGTGCAGTAGTGGGTTCTCTCCGGGTACCCCGACTTCCTCCTCCTGTTCGAAAACATGCAGCTGGTGCAACTGGTGACTCTAAATTGCCCGTGAGTGTGAGTGTGGTTGTCTGTCTCTACATGTCAGCCCTGTGATAGACTGGTGGCCTATCCAGGTTGTACCCCGCCTCTTGACCAATGGCAGCTGGGATTGGCTCCACACACCCTCCCCCCTCCCCCTGCGACCCTATTCAGGATAAGTGGTATAGATAAAGGGTGTATGTTTGTATGATATAGCTTTAAGGAGAAATTTACAGAACACTCATATGTTTCAGAGCCTGTGCACGTACAGCACATGGGGGTCTTCCTTGACAAACATTCAACAACAGAATGCCACCTGTCTGTCTGTCTGTCTGTCTATCTATCTATCTAATCAGAGAGTACATGATTTGTCTGCTCATTCAAACTGTAATTAGATCATAAAACTGTTGCCCATGCAGAGTAAATGCAGACAGACCGGACATTTTCTCTAGTGGCAGTTTTCAGTGTGTTACGGATACAAAATGAGAAACTGCAAGATACAGATATGACTGTTTTGATGATTTGGCACCAGTGTCATGTCAGCCAGCAACAATATGAGGCAGTGTTATGTTACCCTGTAGGTCAGGTTGTCCTCTATAAATATAACAGCTTTATTGGTACACAATATGTAGGACAGGAGGTTTAAAAATGGTTTTAATTAGATCTGTGGTGGCAATTGACAGCCAAGATGATGTGTTAATGTTTTGTTGGCACAATAATTCTGGTATTACTTTATTTGAGCTGCTACATACAGTATATTCAGCAGTTTTCTTTCTGGGACATAATCTGTCACCGTGCAGTTTGGTTTATAAACTAAGACAACAGCCACAAGCTACATTTTATAAAGTGTTCCATTTTGTTATTACTCCTAACAAAAAGCACTGTAAAGCTCTGTGAGCTATATTTAAAACTTCCAAACCTGGAAGTAGCAGCTTATGAGTAGCACTTGAGGGCAGCATTAAACCATTTCTGTCCTCCTGAAGCTCTTACAATAATGAGATACAGAATAACTCATCCATTTGCTCAGTTTAAAATCAAAATGTAGTACTGTCTGCATAAGAGGGGCATTTCTACTATAAATATTAAAATTTTAGAAAAAAGAAATGTCACGTATTATTCAGTAATGCCATGTCATTTAGTAATTGACTCTATTGTTGTTTACAAAGGATCTATTTTGGTATTCCGTGTGTTCAGGATTAGTGTAAAAAAAGCAATTTTTAGTTGTCATGAATTGGTGGGTTTGATATGATTGGATAAGAATGGATTTTCCAACCATCTCTGTTGTTAAATAGTTTATTTGGGATCTCGAGTCTTGATGAAAAGCAGAAGCTGGAAAATGAATCTTTTTTTAGGTGTTAGTTTGTGTCTACTGCACTTCTACTAGACATAACTGACCCAGTTTGGGAAGGACAGGATGATTCATCTGGACAACAAATATTCAAAGCTGATCCTACAATTAAAACTGTAGTTGTGGAGAACTTCAACCAAAGTACAAATGGCTAATTTGTACAGGTTTTTTTTTATTGCTGCTCAGATCAACATTGGATAATGTTTGGGTGTAGTTCAGTTTGACAGGAGGTGAATCATTTGGCATTACACATCATGTTCACAGTGTTTAACAAGCCATTTAGGGCCTTTCAGGAAACTTCAAATATCAAAACATCCTCTAGCACTAAAGATTACCTTCAGTTCTACCTGCTGTCTCTGTTGCTCATTGAACAGAGGAGCAGTGTTAGCAGAGATCAGTACCTATAAATTCATTAAACATTCTTTCTTTGCTTTATTTCTCCCTTTAATCTCCCTAACCCCCTGTGTTTCACCACCCCATATCCATCCACCTCTAGTAGTTTGAACGTATTCCCTTGATCCTCTCCTCTAATCAGGATTCTACAGGGATCGCTTACTCATCTCATTCCTTCACTCTGCAAATACTACATTCCCTTCTTTCTTCTCCATTCACCCCTCTACGCCTGCAAAAATCAATGTGTGTAAAGCGGGACAGATAACCTTGTGTTTTAAGTACTAAGAGCAGGGAGATAGGACAGGGGAGTAGAGGGGGAGAGACAGGCAGAGGAATGATACTGAAACCATTACAGATTATTCAGATCCTTCCTATAACCCTAATAGTCTTTCCTTCTCTTGTCTCCTTAGGACACTTTTACGGTGCAGCAGAGCAAAACCCCTCCAAGACAAGAGGAGAGACATTTTAAATACAGACAGAAACTGTGCTGTGTGCTTGTCTACCACATGAACACTCTGAGAAATGTGTCTGGGCTTTTCTCTGTCTTGTATGTAGCTGTCACAAGGAATTCTTTGTGTCTATACATGTTTGTGTGTTTGTTTTTCTGTGTCACCTTGTATCCCTGGATGAGTCCATTCTGGGTCTCGAGGGGGGGCATGTCCCAGGTCACTTCCAGGATGGAGGGAGATACAGCTGACACTCTGATAGACTGGGGAGCCACTGAAGGAGCTGCAGCAGGAGAAATGTGTCATTACAGCCGCTGTGCGAGCAGCTGGGTGCTACAGTGGGAAGTAGGGAAGAGATGTTCTACCCTTCCAATTAGAAGGAGCCTAAGGCAGTACCTTGTTACTCCACTGTACCACACATATACATGAACATGCAGCAGTGTGCACCTGAGGCTAGAGAAAAGGCCATATCACCCCATTTCATCATCCCCCTCCAGCCTTTTCTGTCTCCCCGTGTCACTCCCCCAACTTATCCTCACCTCCCTTTTCTCTGTTTGTGATATGTATGGCCTACTAAACTCTACAAACACACACATACACACTACACACAGACCTTGAATGCAGCATCGGTCTGATGGAGGAAGTGCAAGATTGTGAGAGAAACTGAAAAAATGTGTAGGTGTTACTGTTTGCTGCACTTGTTTGTGTGTTTGTGGTTTTTATAGCCTTGTAGTAGTTTGTGTGTGTGCATGTGTGCGAGATTTGTTTGCTCCTCTGTCTGCCTGATGGATCCATGGTTTGACCTTCATGGTTTGAAAGTTAAACAGGGGTTGCACCATCATTACAAAATAGACTATCTTGTGCAGCTCCACAAGACATTCAAGAGTCTGCACATGCATACGCACGCTTACACACACAGACACACACATTCCTTGTAGGGATGAAAACTAAGCAAACTCCATCTGCTGCTGAAAACCATGTAATATGATTGAAAGCTCTGTAAATAAGTAGTGAGTGGAGCTTGAGTTGGGATTGTTCTGTCAAACTACAGTTTCCTCTGTCTAAAATGTGCTTTCATACTAAAAAAGAATTAAGTATAAATTAAAACAGGGAGGGATTTTATATTCCACAGTAGCCAATTTAATAAGAGCAACAATCTAAAGATGCAGCTTCAAAGTAAATGTGTGTTTATGAATCCAAAATGCAACCTTCTATCCGTGCACATGAGAGAGAAGAAGCTTGAAAAACAACACTCAACAGTAAGACTGCTTTTCTGGAATTATATCCTTCAAGTGTAAATGTTCATAAGCAAGATGTGTAGGCCAGACATTTTTACTGTGACCAATCCACCAGCTTCATGGTGTTTTCACCTACCTGCCTCTCCAACAGACACCTCGACGGGGTCGGAGGGTGGGCTCTCTCCGATGATGTTGTAGCTTGTCATAACAATCTGGTAACGTTTGAACTTCTTTAGCTCTATAGAGGGAATAACAGTGCTTCAAAAAACTTTCATCCGACATGCACGCTCAGCACATCACATGGTTGTGATTGACAGTGATTGTAGTAAGTTCCCTGGAGGTTTACTGCTCAGTACCATCTTAAATGACTTACGTGTCAACTCAAACTCTGTTAGTGAGGCACTGCTGACTGTCTTGAAGGTGCTCTTGGCTTGAGAAGCGTGAGAGAAAGATGAGACAGAGTAAATCAATAAATGTTTCAAGTTCAACAATGAATTGTGCAATAATGACAATCAATTATTTAAGAGGAAAATGTCTTATGTTGCAGTATCCTTGTCAGACTCGTTGGACACTGGATGGACACAGAATTGTCCCATTGCCAATCTACTCGAGCATATACCCAATCTATTCTAAAGTACTTCAGACTGCAAAGTACATAATAATATTTTACCATTGCAGTTTTATAGTACAATATGGGTGGCCTCAAAAGAAAACAAGGGTCTGGTGAGAGCCAGCTGCTCAGTCTCTTTCATGGCCACACATGCCTTCTCGTTGCTTTGATGTGAAAGACACCTAAAAACACCTTTTTTTTTTACTCTGGGCCCTTTTCTTCAAAATTTAAATTCTCTGAATAACAATCTTTTCAAAAATACTGCAGATCAGGGTCTCATGGAGAATGCTAGACTTGTACAGCAATATCAACAATTAAATATCTTTTTAAGAACATTCCAGTATGATTGTCTTCTACAACCTTCTACAAACCTTGTTCATTTCTGCACAATAATGGTAAAAAACATAATCATGATTGTTTTGGTCAATACTGAAATCACGATTATTTAACACAATTACTCACTGACTTACCAACATCATGCATTTATTAGATTTAAACAACTTGTCTTTTAACAGGAGGTTTCTTGGACTTTAAATATGATTCAACTGAAAAACAACTTAAGTATTTCTTCCTAACTGTGACTGACAGTGGAGGGGAAATTACTTATTAGTCTATATGACTTTTACAAATAAAACTTTGCTACTTCAGGTTAACCGTTTTTCCTGTCATAACCTACCACGACAGCCACATCAATGTCTCGTCTTCTCATTTAACAGTAAGACTACAGTCATCTTTCATTTTAGCCTGTTCATAACAACTGCCTTTCAGCAACACAAGCTTTCGGTTAGCACAAACTGGCGGTGGACGACTGGGGGCAAAGCTGAAATGATCACTTCTCCGCGTGTTTATGCTCCTTAGGTGGTTGATTTGATAAATTAATCTTACTGACTTTTTACTGGGAGAGCTTTTAATAAAAATAAAATTAAATGATGATAAATAAAAATAAAATAAAGAAACTAAATTCTAATAAATTAAATGTATTTATTTGCTCCAATGTAATCTGGCTAACCAGCTTACTGCCAACACAAGGCCAAGGAGCATATCTTTAACTAGGTAAGTCATTAGTTATGTAAGCAAAGCAGCCAGCGTTGTGTTTTTTGTGTGTGTGTTATTTGTGATTTTTTTTTATTTATTGAAACACAAAATAACACATTTATAGGACAAAGGACATAACATAGAAGATGAGACACCAGATAATAACAAACGAGACAAAGGGATTATTAAATTAAAAGTGGTTAGAAATGTCAGTAAAAGTTGATATATTATTCTTACGAGTGGATGTAATGTTCTCTAGTGTGATGTGTTCTATGAGAAGGTCGGTCCAGTGGTAATGAGTTTTTAGATTTCCAGTTTAGAAAGGATAAGGATAATAACAGTCACCTTTATTTGGCCAAGTATGTTACACACAAGGAATCTGTTTCCGGTACAGAACCGAGGCAGCCATCTGTGGCATCAACTCAACCTCCAACCCTCTGGTTGGGAGATGACTGCTCTACCCACTGAACCACGGTCACCCAACAGATTAAAAGATTGTTTTCTTGGCAGTAGTTAGAGTGGTTTATGTTAAAACAAACGGAGAACTCTTAGAACTCACATTAGCCGATGAAATCTTCTTACGAGAGTTGTAATTTCAGTGACAAATGAATTGTTTTCTTGGCAGTAGTTAGAGTGGGTTATGTTAAAACACACGGAGAACTTGAGTTGTAATTTCAGTGACAAATGGCATCTACCTCTGTTTATAGTTTCAAACAATTTGGAAGAATTTGTAGTTATAAAAATGCTACTTTTATGACTGTAACCTGCACAAAGTTTGACAGGTGTAGCAACAGAATGGGAGGGCAGTGAGGCCCAGCTAATGGTTGACTCCATTAGTATCAGTATTACTCACTTGTAATGAGGGCACTTGTGGTGTTGTTTCTGGTTGCCTGGACATCTGCTTCTGTGAAAGTGGAGTTGTTTACTCGAAGTTCTCTATAATACAGCCGGTATCCAGTCAACACCCCATTAATACTGTCGTCTCTGGGACGCTGGAGACATGCAAACAAGCACACACAGGCACATGTAAAGAAGTATCAGTGATGCATTTGTCAAAAGGAACTTCTGAAAACTCTGGTACTGTGCTTGCTTTTCGTGGTGTAGTGAAGGGACTGACAAGACACCGACAGGCTGGCAAAGCAGCGTTTTATCAGCAAAGTCCACTTTAAAGGGCTGGTGGCCTAGTCTGGCTGTAACCCACACAGAGAGGGTCATGCTTCATTGGGTTTGGCACTTCTGTAAAGGATGATGAAATTGCTGGTGACTTTGTTTTTCATTGCCTTCCTCTGCTTTGACATAAGGCTAAAAGGAGTGAGAGAAGACATTTCCAAACAACAGCAGTGACAAGCAGTGGAGTAGCCAGGCTGTCGTAACTGTCTGTTCAGTTGTTACTGTTGCTTGAAAGCACACAATTTCCCAGAAATTAATTTTCTTTCTCTTTCCACTGATATTGGACATGGCTAATGTTTGCCTCTCTGACCCTTTAACATCTCTCCTTCTGTTACATCCTCATTAAGCGTTTGAACCATTGGAACCACCAGCGTGGACCGCCTGTCCCTCCCTCCATTCCTCCAATCTATCTGTGCTGCCCTCTGACCTTTCCTGATTCAATAAATAATGAGTATTGCATCCACAAACGCAAACACACAGAAAATCACATGTACAATCACTGTAAGTCTGCAGAGGTCTTATTTTTTCAGTAAGTAATTAACCTGCTCTCACAGTTTTGTTGTATAGGCCTGTGTGTCTGTACTGTACAGTCCCAGGGACTGTTGCATTTGGAAATACCTTCCACTGCACCAAGACTGAAGTTGTGGTGGTTGGTTTCACTGCGAGGATCACTGGAGGCTCATCAGGCACTGGAAAGAAAATGCACAGAAAGAGAGTGAGGAAGGAAAAGAAACTCACTTCTGTCCATCCCCTTACAGTTCTTCACCGTTAGATTTAAAAATCCACATATTTCCCTCTTTCCTCCCCTGGCCACTCAGCGTCCCAGTCTCTCACCATCCTGCAGAGTTGTAACAGCCTCCGTATCTTTGCTGAGGACGCTGTCTCCTACATCATTGGTGGCCAGCATCCGAAACTTGTATGATGTGAAAGGCTTCAGCCTACAGATGCAAACACACAGATATTTGTGTACAGGTGGACACAAATAACAAAACATATGCAGAATGTACTGTATATAGGCTCCACACCCCCACCTCCCTTCTTCCACCATGTCAAGCTCCATCTAGCCACTCTGTTTCCAGCAGCCAGGGGAGGAGACTGAACTAGAATAAGGCTGCAGGTCTTGATGGAGACGGCCCCAGAGTCCTGTGGCCTGTGGGATTCTGCAGCACCTGTTTAATCTTAGCCTGAGTCAGGAGAAGGACCAAGTGCTGTGCAAGACATCCTGCCATCCAGACCTTTCCTCTTCACCCTGTACATCTCTGACATCCACTACAACTCTGAGTCCTGACATCTGCAGACGTTCTCAGATGACTCTGCAGTTGTGGGGTGTGTCAGCAGTGGACAGGAGGCAGAGGAGAAGTCTAGTGGGTCGCTTTGTATCATGGTGTGGGAATAACCACCTGCTTTTAAATGTTGTCAAGACCAAGGAGATGGTTGTGAACTTCACAAAGTCGAGGACCAAAGAGCACTCTGAGTCTCTGTAAGATCTTACAAGCATGCTGACTGAATGCATTTGCTTCTTTGTAAAGCCTTTTTTAAATGTCGAGTCTGCATTGTTTACACTGACCTGGGGTCTCCAAAAAATAAATAATATACCTCATACACTTTGGGAATAACTTCCTCCCAAAACCACCTTCTTCACCTCTCACAGACATGTTGCGCTCTTTCTACGGCCTCTGAAGGTCAGACAAGGTTTTGAGAAATAATGATCTCACATCTTTCCTAATTGTTTCCACTGCCAGGTATTTTGACTGCCATACTGCCACAACATCTTATCTGCATTTCTCCTCTGTGCAAGGTGAAGGCATTAATAAATGTACCAATTTACACCAGTCATTTTGAAAACAATTTACTCTAGAGCCACTTATAATCAGCCCTTAAACATGCAGCCATTGTTGGGGACTAGCTGAACACATCTGCTACACAGTGCCTTATAGCATGCTAATACTGTAAATGTACCTTTCCTACACAGTGTGGGAAATTTGTTAACATTTAAAAAGGACAACTGGCTGCAAAACAGTAATTGTTCCTAATTTTTAACCAATCTAACCTATTATTGACATGAAATGTGAGCAGCAATTTAATCATTTGTAACAAGAAGTGATTCCACTCCCGCTCACACATCTACCTGCAAGGTCCTTCTCTAGACTTTATTTACTGAGTGCTTAGGAGACGACAGGGGACCAGCTAGAAATTCAGCAGGCGAGAGGAGTGCCTCCTTGTACAATAATGAGCTGGGCACCAACAGGGGACAAGAAAAGGCCCTGTGGGATTGTGGGTATTGTAGGAAGAGAACATCAAAGTCACCACAGAGGGTGGGGTACCAACAGCGCTGAGATCTTAAGGACAATGTCTGAAAGTGTATGTGTGGGGACTCCAATGTGTCTCTGAGCATCGGCTTAGGGACGATGTTTTGGCTCCAAAGATGTCTCGGTGGAAAACAACAATTAAAGATAGAGAACAAGTAAGCATGAGCGTGGGCATGCGGAGATGTAAGCTTATTTGTCCATCCGGCGCCGTAATGAGAGCTTTCAGCGACACAATGAGCTCGAAAGCGGCATCAAAACAACAACAGCAGCGGCACTACCATCATGGCAGAAAGACTCTCTCTGTGGTAGGGTGAAACAGAGTGGTGCAGACACACTGAGAGAACACTCTTCAGCATTTCAAATGGCCCTGCGATAGCTCGCAAAGCAGCACACACAGTCACGAAGCAGAAGACTCATGCGGGAACACACACAATGCACTAGTAAAGCCACACAGACTTGCTACTCAGGCTGTCAGGGAAGTTGGAGTAGCCATTCAGTCTGACCACTATCACCTGCTGCCATAATAACAGTCTCACCAAGGAGGAGAGGATGGAGGGATAAAGGGAGAGGAATGAAAAAGGGAAGCAGTAGGGATGGAGGCATCTTCCTTGAGTGGGGGTGATGCTTGAAGATGTGTGAAGGAAAAGAAAATAAAAGCCCAGTGGTTTTTCAAAGCATTGGCTGTTGATGGAGGAAGGGAGGGAGGCAAGGAGATGTGTCAACAAGAGGGATGACAGATGAAAAGGTAATAATGATTGTAGAGAGAATGGACAAACCTGAAAGCTTGAAGGATGAGAAAAAAGTATTACGAGAAAAAGCCCGAGAGCAGTTCCTGCTGTACCTGCGTGATTAGGTGTCTGTAGTGATTATGATTATTCTACCCTCCCTGGTGGGTTCGAGGTTTGTTTTCACAAACCTTTTCTGTACATCATGTACTAAGTAGATAAAAACTTCCTTCTGTGTTCTAATTCTGTTGTTTGCTTTTGGAACTCTCAGCCCCTTCTCTGTCCACAGTTCTCCCCAAGGATCCATAAACATTACAAGATATTCTTTACAAATTGGTTCAACTAACTCAAACCCAGCAAAAAACTATTTTGTGGGATTTTTATCCCTGTTTTCTCCTAGGGTGCTTGACATGTACTAACTGCCGGCTGAAGGTAGGCAGGAAAATTTAGTTAATTTTTGCAACAATGGGTCCTTGATTACAGACAGACCAGCAACCACTGACTTTGTCTGCTGAAATGAGGTTGTCCCTGGCAGAGTTTATCAGCTGTAAAGTCTCCATTTGAGTTGTTTTTTTTGAGCATTTCGCCTTATAAAATATACATATACATGGAAGTATGTCACTAAAAGGCAGATGGGAAATGGGGGATAGCTGTGACATAGGTTGGCGGTCAAACTTGACCCACCGACGTTGTGCATACGTTGCCTGGTACATGGTGTGCCCCACTCATTTTAAAACACTAATCTAATAAAAGGGTCTTGAATATCTACCTAAAGGCGACAAACAGTACCTGATATTGAGTTCAGACATGGCCAAAAGTCATTATCGTCACTAACTGATGACCCATGTAAAAGACATTGGCACAAAGAAAGAGCACTGTTCTTATATGACAGTGTAGAGCCAGTTAGTCGCCGAGTTAGTGTGTAGGTATGTATGATAAGGAAAAATGGAAGCTCACATATTGTTCATATGTGCACAAACGTGTGTACCTGTCAACGGTCCAGCTGGTCGCATTGTGCGGGATGTCAGTGGTGTGTGTTTTCCACTCCCCATTGGGCAGCCTTTTGACTTGCAGAGTGAAGTACCTCAGGGGAGAAGACCCTGAGCCGCCCGTCACCCACTGGAGGCGAAGATGGCGAGACTCAACGCCATTCTGAGGAGCAGACAGCTTCCTGGGAGGTTGTGGACGCTCTGTGAATGTGGTAAGGAGGGGGAGACAGGAACAGGGGAATTGAAGAGGAAGCATGAGAGAAAACAATGAACAACAAATTAATATTTCTAGGGAAATTTCAGTTTGATTAAAAACAATGGCTGATAATGTGACACATTCATACATAAAATTCAGTTTTTAATTGTTTAGTATAGTGTCGCTTTTATATTTGTTTGTATATTTGTGTTCTGTCTGACCAATTAAAGGAAAACTTTACAAACTGTCTTAGTAAGGTGTTGTTCTATTTTGAGCCTCATAGTGTGTGTGTGTGTGTGTGTGTGTGTGTGTGTGTGTGTTTTGGCTGCCTGACGCCACAGTGACAGCACTGCTTCTCATTACAACATGAAGGTGTCTAAACTGTACAAATACTCAACAGTGGAAACACATTTCGACTTGTAGAGGGTACTTTGAATTAGTTTCACTTTTAGTCAAGCTTTCAGTGGCATTACTTTGAGTAACAGAAAACACTACTACACATAATGATGTTTCCTTTCATCTGTTCTGCTGTCAGTGATACCCCCACTGTCCGAAGTCTTTGTCATACACATGCATACATGTAATAAGCTGACTGGAGACACAGTTACTCACATGCATGATCTAGCTGAGGAATTCTGGTTTCTCTGATGCCTGAACACAGCGTTTAAGAAATCAGTTTACTGCAGAAAGTAACTGTAACCTGGTTACTGCATGTAAATGTGTGTGAGTGCCCCATAAAGAAACATCTGGATTCAGTATTGTTTCTCTACTCATTAATTCAGCTCTCCTATATTTTCCCTCACAATTGTATGTGTCATTCATTCATTCATTTTCTACCACTTAGTCCCTGAACGGGGTCACGGTGGGGCTGGAGCCAATCCCAGCCGGCAATCGGGCGAAGGCAAGGTACACCCTGGACAGGTCGCCAATCCATCGCAGGGCTAACACAGAGACGAACAACCACACACACACACTCACTCCTATGGGCAATTTAGAGACACCAATCAACCTAAGCTGCATGTCTTTGGACTGTGGGAGGAAGCCGGAGTACCCGGAGAGAACCCACACAAGCACGGGGAGAACATGCAAACTCCACACAGAAAGGTCCCGGGTGGGGCCCGAACCCAGAACCTTCTCGCTGTGAGGCAACGGTGCTAACCACTGCGCCACCGTGCTGCCCTAATTGTAGTTTTGCATATTGAAATTAATTGTCTCCTAGACTAATTGAGGCCATCATTGGAACATATGCTGCAAATATCTTGTAATACAGGACAAAAGACGGCTTAAAATTACATCAAATATGCAACAGTGTGACTGCTGCATTGCATACATATGTTTAAATGAAACAAGACATCTAACCACTGCACTCAAAGAAACAATTTCCCAATAGATTACCAGTGTGTGTGTGTGTATATTTGTTTGTGTCTTCACTATTCAATTAGAAGATGAAAGATGGCTCTGGGAGTCAGTATCTTTGTACAACTGTGTTGGCAGTAGCTGTGTGATTAGTAGCTGTGTGTACAAAGATGTGCATGCATACACAAACAAAAACACACGTCTGGGGGGCAGAACTGTTTAATTTCAGGGGCATTAGGTTATCGATTGAGTCTAGAAATAAAAGCATTATCGATGCTCTAGGAAGTTTAATTAATCTCCACTTATGTTCTCAAGCACACACACACAAGCACAGCCACACACTGACACACATATTCAGGCTTGCCTTCCTTCATTCATCCTTATCATAAGTAATTTAAGTCAGATCTGTTTGTCTCCCTTCTTCCGTTGTGCCCTTATTCTTCAGTCCCTTCAAGATTAGACTCTTCTCTCCCTCTTTTGTTTTTCTGATAGCATCTGTGTCTCCCTGTCTGTTCTCCTCTTGTTCTGCTTCGCAGTAAAAAACACATTCTGATAATAACCTCATAATTGTCAAAACACGTACTGCCCTTTGAGCACTTACACAAGAGTTTACCACAAGGGAGAGGAGAGGAACAGAAAAGAAAAGGAGCGAACTGTAGCAGTGAAGTGTAGAGGAGAGAAAGATGGAATGTGGAGAAATGAATTTGGCTAAATATGCTACTATAGGTCGTCCACTATCTTATCATTTACCACCCAATTAGAGCTGATCATCAGCATATACAAATCTCTGTGGGAGTTGCAGTTTTCTTTATAATATGTGTGTGTGCATTTTCGTGCAGCCTCACACACATACAATCCCCCCCTACACACACACACACACACACACACACACACACTCAAAAAGCCAATTTTCTCTTTTAGGGATTAAGTTGGTCTCTTCAGCTTCATCAGAAAGAAAATCTCTATTAGGCTGTTCTGTCTATCTCACAGTGAGAATGGGCCATTATGTTACTGAAGTGGAACAGGGAGCCACTGAATTTTATTCTAAAGAAACCCTGGCAATGATGTTGCAGGTGTTATGTTATCTGATCAAATTAAAATGCACTACACAAGCTGATAGCCCAGAATACAAAACCTGACATCACAACTCCACCTTTTCATAAAACTTCACTTTACTGTCACAGTTTGATATAGCATTTGATATAGCATCTGTAGCATTTCAGTGCTTTACTGGGTATACACTGTGCTGGGGGACAGCGAACGACGAGGGATGACATATATCGAGGGCTACGTTCAGACCAAAGTTATTCATGCGTTAGCCTACTGAGACACCAGAGCTACTGCAACTTCATTTATAAAGTGACACTTCACTCTGATGGGATAGCTCTTTTTAGCTCAGGAGTGACCAAATCTTTCCTCCGTGTCTATCAATTGAGAATATTAACCCCTCACAGAACAGAATGCAATGTATGGACACATTGTCAAAACAGAATATATATTCAAAATATTTACAGTAGTGATTTAAAACACCTATCTAAAAACAAAATCTTAAAACTTATCAAAAAATATGCTATGATCTAATTAATTAACACTGGATATATGACCTTAGATAGTAAATGGACTTATACAGTGCTTTCCTACACACTGAAGCAAACTCAAAGAGCTTTACACCACTGGTCCATTCACGCATTTGCAGACACAAACGTTCACACACTCACACACTGATAATATCACCTGGAGCAATCCTCAGGCCCAGCAACAATAAGCGATCCATTGTGTAGATAAGTGCAGGGAGCCTGTACACATCAAGATGTGATCTTGGCCCCAGAGAAAGTTTAGATAGTGAATGCAGACCTCAAGAAACAGCTGCTCGTTGAGATCACCACCCCAACATTGTAACCTGGTTGGTGTCTCAAAGGAAAGTTGTTCTGGTGGAACTGGAAAATCAGGTGGAACTATATCTGGTACTGTTCTAATTTAGTTCAAATCATATTTTCAGGACAGGAATTACTATGTCTTTATTGGTGTTCATAAATCTGAGCAGATCAGGTGGGGCCCCTCGGGGTTAAATTCTTGTACCTTTATTGTTACATGCTTCCTCTGGGTGACATCATACAAGGTAATAGTTTTGCATACCATAGTTATGTGGATGACATGCAGATTTATTTTGCTCTGGCTTCAAATAATTATGGTCCCTTGGACACATTCTGTCAGTGCTCAGAGCAAATAAATAGCTCTGCAGTAGTGAAGAAGGCCCAGCAGCGACCACACGTTTTGAGAGTGCTTTGTAAAGTGCAAACTGGAGCAGAAGCTTATGGTGTCTTTTCACCGCGCCACCATAGAGAGTGTGCTGGCATACTGCATCTTTTTTTACTGTGCAATAGTTCATTTATTTATCATGTTTTTATACTATTTATTCACATTTTACATTATTTGTTGACATCTTATGATGTTTGTGGTCTGTCTTTTTGTTCAGCTTTTTGGAATATCTGGCACTCGTTCAGATGTAACTCTCCTAATCTCGTTGTATATTTCTTGTAGAATTCCAATAAAGGCTTAACAGTATCTTTATCTTAAATACCTGGAAAATAAACCTTCTCCAGTTAAATAAGGATAGGATAAAGATCCGTTTACACACACCTTCGAATGATTGGTTTCCTGTTTTTATTGCTTTAAGAACTTCATTTTTTGCAAAAAGTGTTTTTAACTGATTGAAGAGTTTTATATATTTTTCTTTTCTGCTTGTTTTGTATGTAAAGCACCTCAAACTGTCGCTAGCTGGAAATGAGTGTTATACATACAGTATAAGGTTAAGTTGAGTTGAGTAACAGCACCTTGAAAGGAAGGCATGAAGGCAGCCAACGAGAAGAAGAAGACCGAACACGCTGATCTGGTGATCGAATGCAGGGAAAGCAGCCACAAGGCTTCAGCTCACCCAGTAGAGGTTGGCTGCTGAGGCTTCATGGGCCTTCTAACCAGACGTTTATTGAAGGGCGCTGAACTGTCAGGAGGCAAACTGACACAGTCACTAAAAGAACTGTCTGAAGAGGCAGAAAAAGACAGTTTCTGCCTCTGGCTAAGGAGGAAGGACTGATGCTGGGGATTTATATCAAGCTGCAGGGGGTGGAGTGGAATCATCCTTAGGCGCCACTTCATTATCCTGGAATGTTCCAGGAGTAAAGGGCAAAACTTATACAAAATTAAATTTATAATGCTTTGGGTAAATGTCACACAGCATTGTCATAACCTATCCTTAGTTGTTAGTATATTCTGGTTTATTTGGTATTTAAATTAATTCACTAAGTGTCAGACATTTCATGAAACATCCATCTTTAAAATTAGACTCCTGCTGTTTGCTTATATTATCTCTATTACCTCGGCTTCTTGCCCTCCATTAATATTAACATAACACTGTGCCTTCTGGGCCTTGATGTCTTCTGTCAGTTTTCCAGTATGACACCTATGATACCATGTGATCACTTAGTCAAAAATCAAACATGCAGCGTAACAGGAAACAGCACCTAGTCGCTATGTAAGCACGACCACCAGCCTACATCAGTCTCTGATATACTAGTCTGATTCTACTGAACATCCTGATCACGATCTTTAAACTCTAGCGCTCTACCGGTGGTAAAAATTATATGGGCATATGGGACATGCAGAATCTTCATTTGGTTGCAGTTAATATGGGTGCTGCATCAGTAATAAGCTGAAGACATGAAAGCAGTTGACTGAAGCAGAAAGAGAGAGAGAGAGAGGTTCAGAAGTCTAGACAGGATGAGATAAAAGCATCACGACCTCTGAATCTGAGGAGGATAAAAACCTAACTTTTTTGTTTCAAAAGTGAACAAAAAAGAGCTGTGCTACTCACTCACTTTACCTCTTTATGAGTCAAGTCACTATAAAAATCTCGTCTCTGGCCACTGACTGTGATGGAAGAAATGCTTGTTTTTCAGGCTTTTAGAGAAAACTGTCTTAGGAGAGTTACTGCTCGGCCGCCTACGTCATACTCGCTGTTCGTCTCTGCCTCTGTTTTACAATTCTTGTTATTGTTGCAATTTATACCCCATGAGGCCATTGAGTGCTAAAATTAGATGAAACGGTGAAGGGAAATCTGCAACAATTATGTTGCCTTAAAAGACAAAATTACCATAATTGCACCGCGCTTATAGCGCTACTGATCAATACTAATCACTTTGGTTGAGAATCTAAAATTTATGGCTTTCAGATCTCACTTTCTGGACTGTTCTCCCTCCAGACTTTCATTCTCACATGTTAACTGTACATTCTTCACCCGCCCACAACAGAACATGGTGCTATGTGAAAGTAGCCAGTGCTGCAAGACAGTTGGTGAGGGAGGCTTCAGCAGCAGCCCTCATTGTCTCACCCATCAAGTCAAATCATTTTGGCCTGCTCACTGGAAGGTATACTCGACTTACTTTATTCTAAAAATGTAATATATTTTCATAATAATATTACAAAGCTGGCTGAGCACCCCCGATGGGGGACTAGAGGTCGTAGACCCTGAGGTCTGACTCTCATTACGCCTCTGTAGCAGAACTAATACCTGTTTATTTCAGTTGCCATGCAGCCCTTCATCCACAGGAGTTTCTAAATGTCATTTCATCTTGTTCTGTATGTAAAATGCCCCATAAATTAAAAAGGTCATTTTTATATTGTGCCAATGTCTGATGCCTTGTAACAACGGATTCTACATGTTCAACCACAAAGTACTTGTTAAAGCTCAGACAACCAGTTTGAGCTCTACACCTGAAGCTCCTTCTTGCATTTTCCATTTTAACTGAATCGCTGCGAAGACTTCACAGTGACCACAACTCATCTAGTAGAGATCATAAAATTTTAAAATGCTGAAACTTCATCTCACCTTTCCAGGCTCCTTCTGCACTGGCATTATTGTAAGAAATGACATTATGTTTTTCTAAATTGTAACACAGAGGACAGGACACTAACAAAACGGGGGAAAGAAATCAACAGGTACAGGACATTAAAAAACCATGTAAGTTGTATTTTAAGTGTTTTACATCCTTTTTTCTTTCTGTTTGTGTGTGTTTGTTAAGTCTAAGGACGTGTGTCTGCCCTGACCCACTGGCAGCGGACACTGAGACACAGTGAGGGAACTCCAGAGCAGATCAGCAGGGTCAGTCCGCCGGGTCAGCCGTGCTGTTATTGTTGTAGCCTTTTGTAATTATACTCATTTTTTTCAGTGAGCGTTTTCTCACTGTTACATTGTATGTCGTGATTTATGTTTATTTTTAGTTTTTGTGACTGATGTTGTTCGAATCTAAGTCACCCCCACACCCGTGACAGGAGAGGGCAGACCTAATGCTCTGCTCCCACACTGAGGAGGAGACCTGTTTAGTAGTGGACAGCAGTCGAGTATGAAATGACAGCGTGTGACAAAATGTAGTTTTCTGTCAGTCTGTCTGAAAGTTAATATGAAACAATATAATAAGTTGGACAATACGTTTGTAAACTGTGTTCGACTTATCTAATAGCAAACATTTTGGAAAGCACGGGTAACATTTATAACATTAATCAAGATACTCCTGCTTAAAACTGGCTCATTTATGATTAATCTGGTTTATTTGACACATTTATTTCTTTATTTATCATTATTATTGAATGTGACTTTCATTACATTGCTGTAGCATGAATTCCACATAAGCACATTTTCCCCTCTTCGTTAGTCAAAGCCTCCAAGCTCACACCCTGTTATTCCTGTTGAATTACACAGCAATGAACAGAGGTACTGTATGTTTTTATACAAACAAAATGAACACACTAGTTATACTGGTTTCATAAAAGCTGCTGCTGTTTCAGGATGAAATCATACTTTACTTTTGCTACATATCTCAATTTAAAGAGACAGAGGAACTGTTTCTAAAAGAGTTTTTTAATCTACTTGCCTCAATAAGAACACACACTGAGCCCACATTAGCAACCTTTACAGCACACCGTCTTTTACAGCTTACTGTAATTTTTTTTCATCATCAAATTACAGGCAACACAATCATCCATCACCCACATACTGTTTGGCGCAAACACAGAAAAAGATTCGTCCCTAAAGGCCTTTTTTAACAGCAGATCTTTTGACTCAGTAAGGCAAGAAAAGCACGGGTGCAACTAATAGTTTTCATGATGACTCCGGTGCATTTGGGAGTCCCAGTAAGCTACGCCAGTGAGCCAGGACGTTGAGCCCTGGAAGTGGCACATGTGGAATGTAGCCATTATTAAAGAGTAACTTCAGACCAGGAGGAACAACAGTGTCTCCTTGGCCTGTCTAGTCAAAAGTTTCAAGTTTCACACCTGTAATCACAACAACACTGACAGATGGGTTGTTGTTGCAAAGTTGCAGCGGCTTTGGTTTCTGTGAAAATTGCATGTGTTCTTCTCGTTGATGGAGCAACTGCATCTTTCACAAGAATCTACTGCATTTTTGGCCAAATTGTATCTTTTAATGAGTTCAGTGGCATTAAGTGTAAATAAAACACCTCCCTGCCTGAGGATTCTGTGTGCTTGTCTCTGAATGATCAGCACTTCCTGGCAGCTCCTAACCAGTTAGGACACCTCTAGAGCTGTCCTACATTTGAACAGACAGTGGAGTGATTTCCTAAATAGGGGATACTGATAAATTGCCTTGAGCTCTCCTGCTAAAAGTACAACAGAAAATGCTCCATTCTGAGAATTTTTGGCTAGTTAGGAGTGATTTCCTACTGTGAGACGCTCGATAAATACAGACCCAGGAATCATTTGCTCCACCTTTACTTCTGTACTCTGCTAATTTCACTCCTTGGTTTCTTAAAGCATCAATAAATGAACTAATCATAAAAGGTCTCTGGGTTCTTAATATTCAATGGTCATCTCTAGTGCTGCTCCGACAACTCAGATGACTGGAATAAAAAAGGTCTCTTGAAGGTCTGGTTTAATGCAATCATCTTAATCTCTCACAACACTGTTTGACACAGGTGATTACATTCAGGGTGGGGACTTTCATCCCCTCTCCTCTTGTGTTTTCTGTCACACTTTACTAACACATTCAAATTTGCCCTCCATGTCCATCCATCCATTATCTATACCACTTATTCCTGAATAGGGTCACAGGGGGCTGGAGCCAATCCCAGCCGACACTGGGCGAGAGGCGGGGGAAACCGTGGACAGGTTGGCAGTCTATCACAGGGCTGACATGTGGACAGAAAAAAACACACACACGCTCACACCTACAGGCAAATTAGAGTCACCAGTCAATGTAAGCTGCATGTCTTTGGACTGTGGGAGGAAGCCAGAGCACCCGTAGAGAGCCCACACAGGCACAAGGAGAACATGCACTCCACACAGAAAGGCCTGGAGCTCAAACCCAGAACCTTCTTGCTGTGAGGTGACAGTGCTAACCGCCGTCCCACTGTGCCACCCTGCGTTCCATCTCCTTGGCTAAAATAGAATCAGCACCTGACATTTGAGGGACAGCTTGAGTGTCCTGTACTATGTTTAAGTAGGAGTGGCTACAATCAGACCATAGAATAGCAAACAAGATCCTGAGCACTGCCAAAGTGTATGTGTGTGTCTTTTACCTCTGCGTTCAGTGGTGACAACCAGGGCTTCCTGTTCTTCACCCCAGCCCACGGCGGTGCGAGCGGTGAGTCGGAACACGTACGGCTGCTCAGGGGAAAGTCCTGTGACAGTGAACTGGCGAGCGGTGGAGCCCACCTCCACTGTGGTCCAGCGCAGAGGGTCTCTGCTGTCAAAGCGGTAGGAGATCTGGTAGCCTAGCGAGGGACAGGAGGAGGGGGAAGACCGAGTCTGTGTGAAAAGCTTGTGTGCGAATGTGTATCTGTGGCCTATTTTAGATCATAGAGTCCCAAGAACCAAAGGCAGCAGGATTTAGGAAAAAGCTAGAATGCAGCTACACAGTGCTATAGCACACAGCCTTCTTTCCACAATAAAACATACAAACAAACACGGCTCCCAGAAGCTCCTGAAAGCATCCATTTCCATTTCTTTCCTATTAGTTTCTGTGCGTGTATAAGCCCTTAGATTTTCTATTTCCCCACAACATACACAACTACAGAAAAAGCCATAACGTTGACACGCTCCCATAGCAAAGCTCACATACTGACACGTTATATAAACATATAACCTCTGTTCTGTCCCCTTGGCTGTGACCCATGGTGCACACGGCTTGTGTCTGTTTCTCTGTCTCATGTGCAGTAGGCCATGTAATAACACTAACACCCTTCAGCACGTACACACACACACTCAAACCACTGATCCCCATCCAAGCTTTCCACAGGCCACTGACTGCTCACAAAGACTCAGAATGAAGACTGTATTGTACGCCAAATAAACACAGCCACAAACTCACACAAACACACAAGTGTGTAGATGTTATTGGTTCACACATAAACTGTCAGGATAATAATCTGCTCAGAGGCAGCTAATCTGCTTGTGTGTCTGATAATCTCATCAGATAATCTGATTGTATGTTAATGCGAATGCAGTGTGTGGAAGATTATTGGATAACAGCTACACTACAAACCCTCTTGCATCTAAACAACTGGGCCAAAGCACTGCATTATGTTCAGTACTGAATATCACTAGAACATCACTGCTATCACATGAATGAGGCAGAATTTCCAATGGAAATGCCGTGTTAGTAAAAACCCGTCTCAGTTACCTTAAGGTGTTCAAAATGTGTATCTATACTTACCTTTTGTGCTTTCAGCTGCTCAGTAGATTCCACTGGTTTTGTCTGTGCTAATGAAAAGCTCACAGCAACGGCAGTGCTACCGCCTTAGCCTGCACATTCTTTGTACTATGAGTGTACTACAAAGTACTTCACAGCTGAAAGCGTGTAAATAAAACAGCAGCTGTTTGAATGGAGCCTGCAGCAAAATCAGGTGCTTGTGTTGTGACACTATGTCTCTCTTTTTATTTCCCGTGTCATATTTCTACACTACATACCAGTTCTATAGTGTTAAATTACGTGCCTCTATTTCATCATTGTTTTTTTTTTGTTTTTTTACAGGAGCCAAGATTTAGGAACAGTTCCATACTAAGGTTCTCCGACACCCCACAGGAGGGTATGTGACTGCGAGTTTAGCAAACTCTGAGGATGTACTAAATGGCAAGACTATAGATGTGTTAATTGTAAGTGAGAATAATAACCATTATGACTTGATCTGCTTTACTAATATACTGCTATGAATACTGTAACTGTTCTAAATTGTAATGTTTAAAATGTTTTTCTACTTGTGTCTGGAGAATAAGCATCCTTAATTTGATTTAAAAAGTGACAAATTAAATTCTAAAAGTGTTATTATGCCCAAGGAACATACGCAGAAATGACTGTAGCAGCAGAGTAGATTTTTCTGTTCTGTTTTTGAAGTTTGCTGTTGTAGGTGACTATTAACAAATAAACAATGACTCATAAAGTCTTTTTTGAGTAATATATTACTAAGAGTGCAGTAGACAAAGTAAATAAAGCTTATTTACAAGAGAGATGCCTCTGCAGTGATGGTGGTGTGTCTACTCTGTGTAGAGGCTGTATTAGTCATGTGAAAGTCATGTGAAAACACAAATGCCCCACTACCTTGTGCCAAATTAAACTGTGCACCTTCTGTGATTGTGTTTCTCCTCTGCCCACCTTCCCTGTCAGTACCCCCTAGGGTTGAAAACCCAAGATGAAATGAGGCAGTCAATGAGCATTAAAGACACAGCTACACTACTACACTTATTTGTATCTGCATTACCACACTCACACACACCTCCATAGTCTCCACATACTCACCACACACTCAGCAAGGACACAGCAGGACTGCACGCTGGTGTGTGTGTCTGTGTGATCGAGAGAAAGTGATTTGCCCTCCCACTCATCCTTCTGTCACAGAGTGGTGTCACGCTAAATGTCCTCCCTGTTACAATACGGTCACACATCACTCACGCTGTCCTGCTCAACTCCCTCCCCCACTGAGAGGACAAATACCACTTCTCCCTCCCTCCCAAGCCACATACACACACACACACCTGTCCCTCCTCTCACCTCCATACATCTCCTCTCTGCTGTTTCTCCCCATGTGTTCGCTCTCTTTCCAGCTCAGCAGCTCTCACATTCCTCTTGCCTCTACCTCGCTTCTCCTCCTCTTCATTAATCTGTTCTTTCTGATTCACTCTACATGCTGTGATTTGCAGGTTCAGAAACAAGTGATATGTGTTTATATATGAGGGTATGTATACATGAGGAAAGGTGTTTTGCTTCAACAGCTATAATAGCCTTTTTCCCAGGAACAAGCCTGATGGCTGACACACGCACAAACACACATGTACATAAACACCAACAAACCTCAGCAGTGGAGTGGAGAGCGGAGCGAGCTGACCCCTGTTTGAAAGCTAAAAACAGAATCAGCTCTTTTCCATTTTACGGCTTTTACTTCCGTCCTTCCCTTGAAAGATCACGGCGGCGTGTGTGTGTGTGTGTGTTTCTGTGTGTGCGTGTGTTTAAAACTGCTAACTCGCTCACTCTGTACACTCCATCCTTCAGCAATTGAAAATAAATCTTTTGTCAGTACAAGTGTAAAACATGGGATTGTTATTTGAATGTTCTGCTCTGAAATATCAGCCGTTTCTGTGTATATGTGTGTTTGATTTTGTACCTAATATGATGCCATTGGGGTTCGTGGGTGGCTGCCAAACCACCCTGATTGATGACAGTCGAACTTCTGGAAACACCATCCTGACAGGGGGGCCTGGGACTGGAGAGTCAAACAGAGAAGGGACGTCAGATGCATTCTCACCTACTGGAAATACTGCATTTGGTTTATGCGAGGGGGGGGCATGCCTGGGTAGAGGAGCCAGGACATGACACAGTCACGTAGCTGGTTTGTAATTTGGTCCTAAACGACCGAGTTTCTTGCTGTACCTTACATTTGTCTAACGATTCTGCTCTTAACAACAGAAGCTCCTGAATCACATTGTCTTCATTGTAAATGAACATTTTTCTTCACCATCGAATGTTTGTATTCTTGCGGCTTTGCACCAGTCACATGATAGAATGACATTATGCGGACTTTGTACCAGGGAACTGGCCTGGTAAAGTCTGCTTAATGTTAAGGAGACTAACTGGAATATTTGCATTCTCATATACAGCTCCTCCGGGTAATGTCTAGATAACCTCAAAAGGGCTATGCTGTGCTAGATCCCACTGAAATCTTTGAGGCTAGGCTAACAAAACCCCCTCTCTGTATAATGCAGTACAGTTCAACAGCAGTATAAACTACATCCTAAGTCCTAAATAATCATATAGTTGAATCAACCCCTCTCTGAAACAGTTCAAACACAAACTAAACATTATCACCTTCATGAAGGAAGATTTACTGCTGAACTCTCTGATTAGGTTGCATTAGTTTTAGTTAGATGAGCCTAATAAACTGCCAACTGAGTGTATATGCAGAGTGAGTGTCTTAGACATTTTTAAAAGGAACTTCTAATAGACACAAAACAGACAATGTAATTTTCTCTCTGCCTTACACACACTCCATCTTTGTTCCTGATAGAAGTACATGTTCCACCCCACTAAATACATGTCAACGTGAGTGTGTGTGTGTGTGTGTGTGCGTGCACAATAGGTATATGTGTGTGACTGACAGACAGGAAGGAGGTTCATTATAGACTGCGGGGAATTGACTTGCCCATTCTTGTTTCATCCTGAAATGAGAAAAACTTTTCAAATGTGACACTGTTTGATAGAGGATGAGTGTGTGCTCTTGTGTGTTTATGCGAGTCTTTCTCTACATGGATTTGTGTGTGCGCGCCTGTGTGCTTGTGTTTTATTATGCAGAAAGACAAGACTGGGTTGCTGACATCCTAAAAGGTCTGCATACAAATGCGCACACACATACACAATGAGTTCTCCACGTTTAGGCTGTTGAGGGGTCTGAGGGGGGGACCCAGTCCAGTGGATGATCAGTAAAGTGGGGGGAGATGGATTGATGGCTGTGCTGACAGCAGAAGTGTAAAGAGGTGAAAAACAGCTCCAGAAGTGAGAAGAAGGTGTGAGTGTTGAACAAACTGCTGGACAGAAAGGTCAGTGATCGCAACACGACACACGGGGCCACCCTACCATCCTCTCTGGTTCGGAGCGTTACGGGGTCGCTCAGAGGGCCGTCACCCATCCGTGTGTACGCCAGCACCTGCAGCACATACACTGTGTATTTTTTGAGAAGCCCCAGGAGCAACGATACACTCCCCTCTCCTTCTGCCACCTGAACGCTGGGGGGACCCTCTGAATCCTTCTCACTGTATAACACCTGGACACAGACACACAAGTGAATTCACAAACACAATCCCAAATGTAGATAAAAAGGGGACAAATACACAGAGTTAGATGTTGTGGTCCTCTGTGTCAGCTCTGTAAGTTCTGTTGATGTTTATTTTCTTTTTAATTTTTGGGGTTTTCGAACTCACAGGTTTACTTTGTTGGTTCATAGTGTTGCTTTCAGCCATAACAGGTAGCTGTCTTTAATGGAATAAACTCAAAAAGCCTCATGTCTGCCACCTGCCTAGTGCTCCAAAGGACAGGCAAAGCTGATGAGTAACAGCTGAACATAGTGAAGAATTTACCAGCAACGGAGCCTGATAGGATTTTGTGGAGACCCAAACAGAGATAAAAGGAAAGTTAATATTTGATTTACATTTGTAACAGAAACACAAGTCCAAATAATGCAAATGTTGCTCAGTAACTGCTGGATGTGTTAACAGGCTGATAGTTCATCTTCTGTATTATAAGGTGATAGTATGTCAGCGTGTACTTCTTTCTATCGTCTCTAAGTAACTTAAAACTCAGTTGTAGCAGGTTTAACCATGAATTTTCGCCTTCTGGCTTTGTGCCTCTGCTCACCGATAAAGTTCACAGGAATGGGGCGGACATTTAGGACACAGTGGCGTTTACCTTTGGCCACCAAAATCATTTCATCCTTAAGACAAAGCGGATGTTTGTGCCAAATCTGAACGGATTCCCTCAAGGTGCTCCTGAGATACTGCATTCATAAGAACGGGCTGGCTGGATGGGTGGACAACCCAAAAACAGAATGCCTCTGGCCACATCCATCGTCAGTGCGGAGGCATAAAAAAAATGGTCAAAGTTTTACTTAATATAGCCTAAAATCACAAGTCACAGTCAAACATGGCTTTACAGAAGGGCTTCACAATCTGCACAGCATAGTATATCACAACAAAGGAACATGTCAGCCAAGCCAATGCTGTGGCTCATTGTGTTTTTGACAATAATGGAGGTCTGTGGCACAGAGGAACAGGCTTTATCAGGCGGCAGCGACAAAAGCAAATGCCTTAATTAGTTTTGGTCTTCTCATGAGATTTACTGAAAGGAGAAACAATATAGAATATCAGCAGACCCATATTTTAACAGAAACAATGATTAAAACTGATCCTGAAATTAAAATTATATCAGTGCTCACAGAAACCAGCACACACTGTACATTCAGTGGCAGCAGAATCCAAATTGCTTTTTCTTTCCCTCTGTTTTTTATGTTCAAGAACTCCCTACCATGCTGGAAACCATTCTGAAGGAAAATGGCAGCTCTTAAGTGGCCAAAAACCGAAACAGTCATAAGAAGACCATGGCAGGAAGCTGGAGAACAATTCAGCATCTACTGGGGGATGGAAGGTGTTGAACACCTGCTGCTGCTGCTATCCGTTAACATGGTAGGCAAGCTGCACAGTGTGACCCTCAGGAGGACAGATGGGGAGTGTGACCTGCTCTGGGCAAGGTAGATGGTACAACCTGCATTTTACACAACTGTTTTAAAATACTGGATGATACTGGTTTATATCACACAGTCCATTTGCTTCTGTAGATGTCTGTAACATCCCATACAACCACCCATGTCCCAGCAACTGAGGATAGATCCTTTTTGTGAGCTTTGTTCTTCCTTCTTAAGAGTTGACAGAAAGTCACCTTTATATTAGCAACAGCATTTTGCATTTGCTTTCTCTTTAAGTTTTCCTTACTGAAGACTTTCAGGGGCATTGCATATGTGCCACTCTACAGGAAAAGGAATGTTGAGGATGTACAGTAAATCTGATTTCTCTTTATTTTAAAATCAAAAAAAGGAAGTAGACCCCATTACATTATAATAAACCCCTGGAGAGTGTGCATGAAAGCCTGCAGATGGAACCACACTGACTGTAAAAGAAGGGGTGTGACTGCCAGTAAGTGGCAAGGCAAAATGAGTGCATGCTGGGCTTCACCATCAGCAGTATTTACCCAGCTTTTACTTAGAAACCTGCACATCAACCATATCCTGTGTAAACTGCAGTTTATGAAGCCTAATAAAATTTAATAACAAAGCACCTTCCAAAATCATCCTTTATGGGTTTCTGTCCATTTTTCATAACTGAATAATCCAGCTATAGTTTCTACTGCAACATTATGAAATGGCATTAAACACTGAAGCCTCACTGATGTGTGTGTGCACAATTACACCCCGAGAAGTATTACTGTTAATTACTGTGCTGGATGCTTTTATGAAAAGTAATGTAGAAAGAATGAACTGCAGCAATTACAGGACGTTACATCATATTCATCTTATATCAGATATTTGTGTGTGTGTGTGTGAGCGTGTGTGTGATAGTGTTGGAGGAAGTGATAATAGGTAGAGGGGTCAAGTCAAAAGCCAGGAAGGGACTGTGTGTGTCTGTGTGTTTGAGTGTTACCTTATATCCGAGTATGACGCCATTCTTCTGGGCGTGGGGTAGATAAGCCCATGTGAGCAGGATCCTGGTAGAACTCACTGCCTCAGCTGTCACATTCACCGGAGGTCCAGATGGAACTACAGGACACACACACACACACAGTTCAGTGCTCTCTAAACCAATCTTCAATTTTACTGTATCTCAATCATTTCCCCCTCTCCTCCTTCTCTCTGTCAATCTTCCCCTCAGTGAGTGCAGAGGGCACAGAAAGGTGGCAGAATGACAGGCAACCAAGGGAGGTAATGGGATCACTTTATTCCTCACCCATCTGTCTTCTTGCCCTTCCAAAACAGTATTAGTACACTAGCAAAGAGGAAACAGGAGTGAATCAGGTCTGGGCTTGTACCGGATTCTGCGGTGTGTGCAGCGACAGTGTTGCTCCAGGGTCCAGCTCCTATGGAGTTGTAGATCTGTATCTGAACCTGGTACTGTGTCCAGGGATTCAGACCCTCTACTGTGGCCTCACTAGCTGCCCCTGCTCCCTTCACATCATCAGTCCTGTTGTCCCCCTGGCCATCTGTCCTCCACACACGCAGCCGGTACCCCACAGTCTCTGGGCTGCTGTTGTACTCGGACTCTGGAAGAGGCTGAAAGGTACCAAAGAGTGAGAGGAGGGTGAAAAAAGAGCTGATTAGAGAGAAGTGTTTTGTCATTTATCTTTGTTTGACATGGACATGACAACACTTTAAAATGTGTCCCGGGCGATCGAATCATAACTGGACAACGCTAAATACAAGTGTACCCAACCACCAAGATGGATTCTGATCCGATCACTGGAACCACTTGCTGAAGTGGTCTGGGGCGCATTTGACCACATACGCATCTTCTGTAGTGTAAACGCTAATGCGTCCTGATGCGTCTCTGATAAGGCCAATTGAGGAAAATATGTCTTCAATGCAGGTTGTGATGATTGTTTAGGTGAGAGTGCACCAACGCTCAATAATAAATAAATAGCTGAGAAATGTCCAATACAGATCCATCAAAGTATTGTGAAAGATTTCATAATCCATCCATGTACAAATGTGATGCTTGTCTTCTGCTTGTTCTTCAGTTAGGGAGACTCCTGGTGCTTGTCTGGTTACAGACTAAAGTAATAATTGTACCCGTGGCCTTTCGATATTTAAGTGCAAGTGTTGCATCAGTAGAAAATCTGAAGACAAGTGGTCAACTGGGCACCACAGAGATGCATGTATAGTGACAGGTGTAAACGTTAATGCGGCTGTCCACTTGTGTTTGGATCACCGAGATGCATTTTAAAACCAAGGGCCATAATTTTTCTAGTGAGTTACTGTTTGATTTATTGTCATTATGGCAAAAGCCTACAGTCAGAACAGTGTATTTTAGTAGCTATGTATGATATACACATGTGGCTAAAGATGTTGTAGCCTTCAAAACATGTTACTGAAATTGATTGAAACTGACAAACATAAGTGGACCCACAATTCTCTATCACACAGTTAAAAGAACAGACAAGTACATGGTCAAAAAGATTTGGGCCCTTAACCTAATATTTTGTAGCGCACCTTTGTTGTGGATTCACATCAATCATTTGGTGGCTCTTAATGAGACTTGTACATTCCTGGTAATTTGACCCACTTGTCTGAGGCAAACTGCTCCAGTTCTCTCACGTTTGATGGTTGTCTTCTCCCAGCTGTGAATTTCAGCTCTTTTCATAGATTTTCATTTGGATTAAGATTTCAGAATGCTTCAGTGTCTTTTTGTCATCCATTCTTACTGTTTTCAGATGTATGATGGAGGTTATTATCCTGGTGGAAGAGCCATGATCTGACACTGAGACAGAGCCCTCTGACACTGGGCACTGTTTCTTTCCAGAATGTTTCTGTTTTAACACTGTGCCCTGCACAGATTCAAGGCACTGTGTGCCAGATGCAGCCAAGCTTCCCCATAACATAACTGAGTCTCATCCACATTTGACAGACAGGATGGTGCAAGGTTTTAGTTACATGAACACAGAGCTGATGCGACTTACCTAAAACCTCTAATTGTGCTTTCATCTGTCCATAGGACACTCTCCCAGAAGGAATTTGGCTTGACAACATGCATTTTAATCTTTTTTTTTTGTTTGACTTTCAAAAGTAGTCTTCCCTGGTGTTCTCCTGCGGAAACCATTTTTATTCAGAAAGGCACGGACACTGCTGTATCTCAATCTTGGACATCAGCTTGTATCTATTTTGGAGTTTTCTTAGTTTCTTTTTCCACCACTCAAACCATCCTTCTGTTCAATCTGGCATCAATTTTCCTCTTGCAGCCATATCCAGGGAGGCTGGCTATGGATGGTCCCAAGCATTTTAAACATCTTAATATTAGCAGCTGTGCTCACTGGAACATCAAGCTGTTTGGAGATGGTTTTGTAGCCTTTACCTTGACCATGCAAGTCACATAAGAGAGACAAGTCTCTTCTTTTATTTCTCACGTCCATGTTCAGTGTGCTGCACACACCAGAACCAAACAGCACGATGAGGATTGCATCACAATGAATTATAACACACCTGTGAGACTTACTGAGGACAACAGTTTGTTTGAATTATCACTACAATCCAATTATTAGTAACCACTTCTAAGGGATACTAATATTTTTGTTCAGGTCTTTGAAGCGGATGAGAGAGCTTTTAATTTCAACACTTTTTCAGAAAGAACAAAGCATTGCAATGAGGTCTAGGGGTACACACACACACACACACACACACACACACATACAGTATATACTGTATATATATTCTCCAAATGACTCTTCTCTTTTAAATTATAAATGTTTAGACAATAGCATTGCATTAAAAGTAAACTTAGAAACCATCTGTGCTTTTTTCAAGATAATTTCATGGCACATCTTTTAATATTGTGCACTTTATTCAACAACAGCTTAATAAATGAGGGTCAGTGTGCCAATTCTGAATTGTGCAAGTATCTTATAATGTGTCAGCACTTGGGTACCCTGTGCTGTCACTGCACTTGGGGAAATTAATTAATTTTGGCTCTGATTAATGGAAGAAGGACTATCTATAGAGAAAAAGAGCTGAAAGGATGATTGAATGAGAAACCAATTTTGGCAAAATTGTGATTCATAAAATGATGATAATAAAACACACAGAACTTTGCTGCTCTATGGAACAATATGACACAGTTCCTCATAATTAACATGGAGTGGTATTCAGAGTATTTATGAGAAATATACGACTTCCAGTACTCAGAGAAGCACGCATGCATTTGGTAAAATAATAATACAATACCACAACCGAACAATAACAAACCCACAGACTCAGACTAATGGCGTGTTGACATTATAGGGGAAAAACAAGGGTCTTGTGCGAAGCGCTCTGTGCTGGTTGGTGCAGAAACTCAAGCAGAAATTCCTGGGAGACGCTGTACAAATTCGGCGCCGCCTTAGCTACAGTGCTAATGTGGCTAGCATTAGATCAATACACTTTGAAAAACCAAGGTTGAGCCTCTAAACAATCTTGGTAGCCGCACTTGCATGCTGATATTTCACTAGCTAAAAAGGTCGTCTGTCTTGGTCTGTTCTAAAAAATGAAAGTAATACATATTGTACAGTGTGGGAAATTCAAAAACACAAGTTGGCTAATTAGCTTCTCGTCAGTTCAACCAGTGGTCAACAGTGATTGGCTGCGCACACAAGGATCAGTGCAACTGGGGTCAAAGTTTAAAAAAATCTGAACTTTCAGTGCATCGTGGACATCTGTGCAGAGCCTGCACAGTTCACCCCATACACAGCAATAGCGAGATGTGTGCAAAAGCCATTTTTCCACAATGTGAACACACCATTAGACATATAGTACACAACACCAAAAATAATCCTGAAAACTGAAGTATTTCTGTATAATATTAGGTTTTCATGATGAAATAAGCAACAATTACAGTTATTTATTATTTAAAAAGAAAAGTTCTGTTATTTAGTAGAGATTTCATATTCAAAAACATCAGGACCATGTAAGAGCTATTTCATCAAATAGAGAATGGATACGCGAACTGACCCTGAGAGGACCCATGGGTACCCGAGGGTTTAGGATGGGTTCGGACAGAAATTTAGAAATTATGTTCAGGTTGAAGCACTCAAATGCCTCCTTTGTTTAGTGACAATGGGAATAACACCATACAAACTCAACTGCGTCAGGCCCGGGTCAGGTTCAGACAGAAATATGTGGCCACTCCAAACAATTCTGAAACTATTAAATTTTAAATTCTAAGTCTGGTGCTGCTGAACTCTGATTGGTTCACAGAAATATGTAACATCATCCAATAAAAATAAGCCCCGGTGAAAAAAGTGAACACAACAATGCCACAACGAAATCTGTCATGTGAAGTAACTAATATTGTTTAAACTTTGGCACAAAATTGAGCGTGTGTAGGACACCATCACTCAGATTAACAAGCTAAATGAAAACCAGGTTAAAGCCACTATGTTTGGTGACACAAGTGGCAGTATTATACCAGAACAGAGTTGGGTCCAGACAACATAAGTGGAATGTCAAGTTTAGGTGTCCACAGTATGAAATAAACAAAGACACCCACAGGGACAGAGCATTTCGTAGCTCTCAGGAATATGGTTATTTATGTGATAGAGTCAAAATCTGAAGCATATCCTGAAAATCCTTTACTGTTTTCTCCTCTTTGACATCCCATCTCCTGATCATTTTCTCTCTAGCCTCTTTTCCCCCGACATCTAAGTCACCCTTTGTCATCCTCTTTAACTTGCTTCCATTCTCATTTCCTGCCAGCCACCCTCCTTCTTCTGTCACCTCGTCCTCTCTACTCTGCCTGTGACATTATACATCACTGCCACAACCACCTATTACTCAGTGTCTTAAAATCACATTAGCAGGAAGTTTAGATTGCTCACATTATATAATTCCAGAGAAGATTTTAACCAGCATTGTAAAGTGGTTGCTCTGTACTGTGCAACAGATAAGTGAGGCACCCCATCATTTTCAATACCCCAGTGATTTAGTTCAGCTTAGCATTTAGGGGCCATAATACAGAATGTCACATTAGCTTTATTACCCCTAATATGCAGCTTAGAATAATAGCCTAAGCTAAAACCATTGTGATGGTTCCATTACAGCAGACAACCTAGTGTAGCCCAGGCTGGGTGCTAACATGCAGGTAAAGTCCCATTAGCATGCTGCACAGGTAGCTCATAGGGCCTCAGTGTCTGTGTCTGATTTGACAGCCTCTTTTTCTCATTCCAGCTCTTAAATGGAAAATACTCTGCTCTCCATTTATGTTATAATTGAAGAGGGGAAAGGGGAGTGAAGGGAGGGGGTGAAGAGCAGGAACAAGAGCAAAAAAGAAAAGACAGTTAAGAGAAAATTACATTGCAGTTTGTGCTGCTAGCGGTCTGCGTGGTGAATGAGAATTGTGACAGATTAGTGTTAGCACTGATAACCAGGAGAGACACTGATTGTAGGCTATCAGCCACTCAACCTGTTCAGTACTGTATCTGGCGAACACACATGCATGTGCATATGCACACATACATTGAAATAAAAACAACTATGCAGAGATGCAAAAGATGTAGGAAATGCAAAGAAACAGAGTCAAAATCTCCAAAAGTGAAATTAGCACTGTTTGAATGATGATAAAGGATAAGCATTTAGTGTTGCACAGAGGTAGGTGTGTGTCTATGAGTGTTTCAGTACCTCCCAGCTGAAGCACAGGCTGGTCTGTGTAGCAGACAGCAGGGTGAGGTTAGAGGGGTGTGTGTCAGGGGCCGCCTGTAAGGTCTGGATCAGCCTGGACGGGGCACTCAGGGGGCTGGAGCCGACAACGTTCACCTGCCGCATTCTGAACCTGGTGAGAAAAGAAAGCCAAGCTATGGGGCATTCCACTGATTTATACAGATTTAGTTTACACTTCATGAGGTGTACTGCTCAGCCTGTGAAAACTGTGGTATAATGTCTTTTGTGGCTCTGGAGGGAGTGCTCTCATGTCTGAAAAAATAACTCATAATGCCATAGTGATCCCATCGGGGGTTATCTCACCAGACTTGGAGACCGAAGATTTTTAACAGAAAGGCTATATTACGAACGGGGGCTGTGGAGTTTAGAAGACACTCATGTTCACTAGGCAGGGATGATAAACAATATAATGGGAAATAAATGAGAAAGTAAATGCTATTTCCATAGAAGGAACAAATATACTGTGTATGGAAATTACACTGCACTGAAGCTAAGTGTTCTTGTCATAAAGAGGACTATGCAGCTTGTGAACACAATTGTTTAGTGTCGTCTATGAGCTGCATTATGGGAAATGTAGGTCCCAGTGTGTTTTGGTATTTGAATCATACTAGGGACATAAAGTCAGGGTACCTCAACCTTTGACTATTCTTTTTAAAATCTATATCTTCTAAGTCATACTCTATTTATGACAGTACATTACGAAAATTGCTGAAGTTCCCTTTAAAAAACACCATGACCAAAAAAACTAAGTCGGTCCATAAGTTAGACATGGCTGAAAAGCGGGTGTCTAATATTTTCAATTGATTACACAGTGTTACTGTAGAAATGGTGGTAAAAACCAAAGTAACTGGGTCATGTAAACTTTATCATCATACCTTTTGTGAAGTACTAGGTGGACTAGATGCTGTTAAAGTTGCTTATCATAAAACAGTAGAGATTACTGCCTGAAATGCAGACAATCAACATATAACATCAGGTGGAACTCCCCACATGAAGATTTCTGAAAAGGCCACTGATGATTTGTTGAGGTGATTCCAAACATTCAGCAGATATTGTGGCTTTTGTTATTTCTAAATGCATCTATGCTCCATTGTAGCTATGAGTGACAAAGTGAGTGTGCAGAGTGCCTGTGAGAGACTGCATCTACTGTAGGAGTTCTCATCCCTGTACTGGGAGATAGAGAGCAGGATGTAAAGAGGGACTTAAAATGGGGGATAAGAAAAGCAGACAAGTGCATCACTTCATCTAATGTCCCAGTGGTGCTGCCTGTGACAACATAATCCCTGTGAGTGTACAATGTGTGCACAATCACATACTGCAGTCCCATTACAGATGAAGGTGGAGATACAAAGAGCAAGACACAGTGATAGACAGATAAATACAGGAGACAGACAATGAGACAGAGAAGGAGAGGGAGTGAATGAAGAGGAAGAGTTGCTGCTGTTCAGAGGGGCGATAGATCACGTTTACAAACTGCAGGCTCCCCACAGCCCTAGAGCAGGGATTACAGACACCCATTTCTCCTCCTCCATTTCCCATTCTCCTTGTCTTTTATGCCTCTGAGGCTTTCTGTCTTTAATGCTCCTTGCTGCCCTTCCTCTTTCTTACCACCTTTCTTCTCCCCTGCCCTCACCCCTCTCCTCCCCTCTAGCTAGTTGCAGGAGGGTAATAAGGATCTGCATGCAGCAGCTGTGAAGGTGCTGACAAACAGAAAAGTCTCAGATGGAACTGTCTCTCTGTGTGTCTGTGTGATTTATCTAACTTCACCTGAGTATTGCAATACTGCAGAAACCGGTGGAGAGTGAGACGTGTGTGAGTTTGTGTGTGTGCACAACGTAGCACTTTACTATGTTCTTCTGTAGACTGTGCTTGCTGCTCACCTGTACTGAGTGAATGGAGTGAGGTCCGGGATCTCCAGCGTGTCCGCATCGGGCTGGTTATCTTTCTGGTAGATGACCCTCCATGCCTCCTCCTTTCCATCCTCCTTCACTACCTGTTAAAGCCAAATATGTTGTGTTAGAATAGTTTATTTCATTCTGTGTTTCAGGATTTGAAAGGCACTGCAAAAGCGTACAAACATACGCACCTGTCCTTCAACAATCCATCGTGATATTGCTGTCTTTCCATCAGAACCAGGGCGGAAGCGAAGTGTTGCTGCCCGAGGGCTGATGTTGGAGATGACTAAATTAGAAGGAGCACCAGGAAGTTCTAAAGATACAAAAGACAGAGAATGATGTTGGAATGTCACAATAATGTTATTTTTGAAAAATCAACCAGATGCAATAATCATTTATTTACAAAGGACAGTGTTTTTTTCAAGCAACACGAAATGCAACATCACAGCATAGTGAACTGTTTCATGAGGGCTGATGAAAAGAAGTGGCAAAGCAAACAACACTTTAATACTTTAAAACTGACAAAAGTGACATCAGAACTGCAACAGGACCTGTCTCTAATACACTTACAATAACACTAACAGAAGAGAAATAGAAAACTAAGTCATGTTGCCAATAATGCCTGAAATACAAAAAAAAAAAAAAAAGCTTTAAGGAGGAGTGAGCCAAGAAACTGGCTCCGGTCCTTTTTATTATCGTGTCCATGTGGCCATTCTTGGCCATAAAAGAGGAAAATAAAAGACTGGTCACAGAGAAAAAATGTTAATGTTAATAAAGTACAGGCACTTATGTTACAGCTGTATAGCCATCTCTGTCAGCACAATTTATTCCACATTTCCAAGGTCGACAATACAATACAAAGAGATAAATCTGTACACCAGTGGAGGTGAGACGTGAATTAAATGGACAGTTCACTAAAGTCCATTTAAGGCCTATAAATGTCTGAGTAGGCTGCAAGTCTCATAAAATATGTTTGACCCATTGGTATTCTAACATTGTTCCATCTCAGTGGCATTAATGAGTGACAGCAAATGGGTAATGTGGCTGCCCAATCGCAGCAGCCTGAACAGAGGGGGAAGAGAAACCACAAACATTAATGGCACAGCCACATCCAAAGTGTCCTGTTCTCTTCTCACTGTATTTTATTGTCTGATAAATCAGTGTATACCTCATCAATAACCATGTAGACACACAAAGCCGGATACACACACAAGAAATTTGTTTCCGGTACAGAACCGAGGCAGCCGTCTGTGACACCAACTCACATACACTGATGGCGTTGCTGTCCCTGCAAGACGTTGCTCTGGCCATCAGGAACAACTTGCCGTTCAGTGTCGTGCCCAAGGACACTTCGACACGTGGACCTGGGATAACCGGAATCTAACTGCTGCCCTTCCGGTTGGGGGCTGCCTAGATCAACTGAACTTCCGTCCAACTTAGGGCTGATAACAATAAATTCAGATTTTCCTTCATTTAAGTGAAGGAAATTCTGACTTAGCCAAGTTTTGACATCCTGTAAACAGTGTTGCAATGCAATATTATCACACTGATGTGTGTACAAGTGGTAATTGTGCTGGTACGTTTGCTCTTAATAAGTTATTTGATGCTATAAAAAGGGTGGATTTTGGATTATTTGAGAGCTTTGACTGACAGTCCCATGCTGCCACTCCACTTCTGGTTGCTACTGCACAGAATGCAGTTGCAAAAAAGCAAGATGGCAGCCGCCATATTCGCGATATGTTGCTTCGCTTTCGAACAGTGGAGGGACGTGGTAATGCCATGTTCACTGTATATATGTCAATAGTCCTCAACAATAACTGGAAGAAAGAACTATTTGAGATCAACTAATTCAGCGTACAGTAAAAAGAAAGTTCTCTGACAACAACATCAATGATACAGCCTGTTTGTTTGTTGGCAAGTGCTGTAAACCCCACTGACTAACAGTCTGAATAGTTGCTTCTGTCACATTCAAAGTGAGGGCAACCAGGAGACAACTATAATTTTCTCCTAGTGGTGAGTTTTTTCTATATTTCCTTGTTAACCTGGAATAAATCATAATAGAATAATATGTTTTTTCACGCACACTTCAACTAGGACAAATTTTTCCAATGAAAGGTTTACAACTCTACCTTTCAAATGCCACACACAATTTATAGCTGGCTCTGAATAGACTTCTTCACTGACAGCTACTGAAATGAAATGGCACTGGTCTGGCAGGTGGCACATCTGATAGCCGCTCTGGAGACACAGGCTGAAATCCTGAATTTGATTTTAAATGATGTCCTAACACATGAAATATATGACAGATTGTTTCTGTTTGTAATGTTTACATAATCACAATGAACCACAATCCATTTTGCTCTAAATTGTCTCACTCAATCACTTCAACCACTTCCCGCCACCGCGTCTGGTTGACACTTGGTTTCCGTGGATGGTGTAAGCGCTAGTGTGATCTTCTGTAATCCACCCAGTTGTCCTGCAGCAAGCATCACATTTGCTGAACATGGCAGGATACAGCTCTGTAAAGCCAGCGTGTTACACCAAATGGCATGTGTTGTAACATGTCACTCCACTGGGGAACATCAGACTTTGTAGAATCTCTGAAGAGATTTTTATTGTGAAAGCACCATATAATTATATAACATGACTGGGTTCAGTTATTAAGGACACAAGGCAATATTTATTCCGGATACAGAGAAGCACATGTGTGCAACAAAAAAGAAATTATAGCTATCAGCTACCATTGCCCTGAAAGTGCATGCAGCAAACTTGTAAGGGTTATAATGAGGAAATGTTGATATCAGCCTCCTTGCTCAGATGAATGACAAAATTCGCTCAACTCCATGAATACATGAATAAATAAATGACAAAAATCTATGCTTGGTGAGTCCCCCTCTTTCTCTCTCCCCAACTCTCTGCTCATTCTTTAACTCTTTTTCCTAATCTTCAGTGCTCCGTCTTTCCGTCACTCTTTTTGCTTTCATGAATTAATGAATAACCTCTGAATCTAAGAACTGTCTGTATCTATCTTGCTTTCACTTTTTCTGCTTTTATTCATAAATTAGTAATCACAAAATGTTCGGACAAAAATCCTGCTGCAGTAGGCAGGTTTCTCCTCCCATTCCCCTCCACTTCCTCACTGCCTCTCAGTCCGTTTCCGAGAGACTCCGGTCATATGTTCCTTGGAGATTGCATTTTTTTTGTTTCCGTTCTTTCCACATTGTGTTTCTCTATCTGCTCTTCCTTCTTCATTCCTGTTCTTTGATTGTGTCGTTCCCTCTCTCTCCCATAGCTGCATTCACCTTCTTTGCCATTTGCAGTTAATCAGCACTAATAATGATTGCAACTTGGCCTTAGTCCAATCATCCAAACTCTTCATGCACGCACAAACTAGGTGTGCACACGATATACACACACAAATAAACAACACACTGAAATGTTCTCTAAGATGCTGCAAATGACTAAGTCTTGTGTGTGACTGTGCTTGGTTGTGTGGGTGATGATTCATGGATGCACAGTAACAGCCACTTAGCCTGAGGAGAAACAATGGCACCATAAAAACTCATCAGTTATATTTACGCTGCTGCTGCATACACACATACACACAAGCAAAAAATAAGCTTTGAACTTCCACTGTCACCAGCAACACTGCATGCGCGTGTGTATTTATTGTACCTGGTGGGACTCCAGTGGAGATGGTGGCGGAGGCGACCGCTCCCCGCCCTGCGGCGGTGAGTGCCACCACCTGTAGTGTGTACGCTGTGGTGGAGGTGAGACCAGTCAGCTGGTACTGAAGGGTTGAGTTAGACAGAGAACGTTCCTGACGGCTCGACTCTACATCAGATACTTGCCACCACAACACGTAGCCTGCGGGATGTAGAGCGCACGCTGGGTTAATAAAGATGCATACACGCATGAGCAGATGTATACACACAGACAAACATACACAAGCACACAGACCTACAGTGTACATGTGAGGTACAGAGCCAAAAAGGGAGTAGTCTGTATGGGAGGGGTAGTCAAAATCACACTATCACACTCCACCACCTTGAAATGTGTGTGTGTGTGTGAGGCCACTTGTGTGATAAACCCTAGAGAGAGTGAAAAGTCCCTCATCTGTCTCCCTCCTCACCAGGTGCTGGATGAAAAGCAGGTTGAGGGCAAAGAGTAAATGTGCAAGGTGACCTTGACTGAATAACCATTTGCCTACTCCTCTGAGTGCGTAAACTGCACCACAGCCTTGTGCTGTTACTCTGTGGACTTGATATTTAGGCGTCTGAAGAATATTGAACATGATGCAGCCATGTGAACACTCAGACACACACACACACACAGTGCAGTGCAATCGCTTAGTTCACTGCAGCGCTTCATGTTCACCAGCGCCACTGTCTAACAGAGCCATGGAGGAGCTGAGGCAGAATGAACTTGGGGGTGGGGGCTTGAGGTCTGTAATGTGCCACCCAACCAACAGCCTGGGTTGCTGGGAAGTGTGGGATGAGGGCACGTTCGACATAATGTGTGAAGACAAGCTGTAGAGAGAAGCGATTAACCGATGATGAATCAGTAGTACACAACCGTGTCAGTGGAAGTCAGAAAAGTAAGAGATGAAGTGGAGAATAGTAAAGAAACAGTACATTTTTCATGGTTCCTCCCTCGGTGCTGCTTGCCTCAGGGGGGATGCTTTTTACTCAAAGTTTATTTGTCCACCTGAGAAGAATACCTTTTAATTGGAAACGATAGGCACTCTATCTCTAATCATTGTGTGTCTTACTTATGACAAGAACAACTCAAACTAATTTAAGCTTCTCTCATCAAAACTTTTAATGGTACTGAAAATAACATGGTAGAATAAAAATTTCTTGATTATAGTGGATAAATGGAGGTGGAGGAGGAAATCAGTGACTGGTTAAAGTTTGGAGACAGTTCTACTAAGTTGTAATGCTCGTACCAGTGATGATGCCGTTCTTGTCTTCAGGCTCTGCCCAGCTGACTCTGAGTGATGTGTCTAAGATTTCAGTAAAGCTCAGGAGGCGAATGGGTCCAGGTGCTGAAAGAACACACGCACACACACATCAGATAATATTGGTCGGTTTTGACCAGTTCAACAGTAATAAAACTTCAGAAATTACTTGATTTCAGAAAATCATCTCTACCTCTAAGCCCCCCCGCCCCCCCATGCCTATACAGCCTATTACCTGCTGCTCTTCAACTTCACACACTACCTCCTAATCACATCTGCATTGACCACCACACACGCACAGACTCAGGTGCACGCATGCCTGTCGTTTCTCATTTCATCCATGGCTCTCTAACCTCTCTCCCTGCAGAGCGATTAAGCTATTCATCTGAGACATTCAATAACATTCACACACAATCTCTCACACACACACGCGCAAAAAGCTATCATCAAGCAAGAATTACACCCACCGTTAACCCTGCAACACACCCAGAACCCAATCAATACCTGTCTACAGCTACGTGTATGTGTGCGAGTGTGTGTGTACACATGGCTTCTAATATCCCTTTCCCACTCGATAATTGCTGGATGGTAATAATTGCTTGTCTGTCTGCCTATAGGCTATTGTGTTTATTTGACAGTGCGACTGTGTGCATGTGTACTGGCAAGTGGGAGTGGCAGCTTTTATGTTTATCCATTGAAAAGTACGCTATAAATACCAGTATGTGTGAAAACATATAAATCAATTCCCTTTAAAAAGACAGTGAAGCAAAATTGAAGGTGCGTGTGTGGTGGTGGGGGGTGGGGGTGGGGTTGCCTAACAACAAAGAGATTAAAAATGAGGAAAAATAAAGCAAGAGCCTGAGAGAAAACAGGGGGTGCTGGTGTAGAGACATAGTGGATGCAGCTGTGTATCACACTGATGGAAACAGCTGGAGCTGTGTATTGAGCAAGTCACTACACTTTCATCATTATTCACAGCAGAGGCTGATAGGCGGGTCTTTGTGCGCTGCTCTGTGTGTGTACTCACTGTCCTCATGTGTCTGCAGCAAGGTGGGCGGGCTGCGGGGGCCGTCTCCAGGTGTTGTGAAGCAGAGGGTGGAGCCGAAGTACCAGGTGAATTTCTTGAGTCCGCTGACTAATCCTGTGTGGCGTGAACCTGGATAGTCTGGGGTGATGGTTACTATGGTAACGTCCTCCGGAGACCGCTCCGGCCACACCAGTAGCTGTGACAAAAATGGTCATGGCTCAAATCTGGGTTACAAATTTCATCGACTGAATCCAACAGGTCTCCACTGCAACTAAAAACCTCATCACAGTTGTTTTATTTGTGATGTATTTCTTTAGTCATTAGCTTGACTCATCAGTATCAGCTTCAGGCTGTCAAATCCACATCTTATTATTCAAACTATTTATGAGACAAGAGTGTGTGTGGGATACGGTGACTCTTTTCAAATTAGGCAGATACCCAAGGGGTTTCTTTGTCATTAAAGTTTAAATACACTACATTCTATTTACAAATTTGTGAAAATGGCAAAACAATACTCATGTTTCCTTTACCCACAAAAATGATCTGCATTCCAAATATATTGAAATTTAAGCATTATTTATGTATGAATGCACAACTTCACATAAATTCCTCCCAGCAGGCCATTATCAGTCATAGCAAGATCTGAGGACAAAATAAGTCTGAACATCTAATGAAAGGTTAATTTGTCTCTATTGTGGCATTTGATTTACATTCTGAACCACAGCAGCTTGGTTATTGCTTTAGCCATAAAAGCTAACTGTGAAAAGCATATACTTACATAATCATAATGAAAAATAAGCCATATTGTACCTATATGTCTATACAAAGTTGATGGTAAAAAAACATAACTGGCTAAATTTTGAACTTTGAGCAAAGTTTTAATCAGATTACAGAGTGCTGTGGGTTAGTAGTGTGCATGGGCGGAGCCAGGGGTATTGGATTCCCATTCTTAGCTTTACTGTACATGTACCCTAACACCGACAATGAAATGAAGGTAGGATCAACACAACCTCACGTGCCACATTTCATGGGTGCAAAAATTACAACTGTGCAACTCTAACACCTGTCAGCGATGACACAAAATGATGAAGTATCTAAAATGTCAATTTAATACTCACTATACATTAATTGTTTAATAATAAGTGAAAGAGTGATTTCGAACATAATCTAAAATGCATTAGAGCTGTAGCTGTTATTTACTGTTTATCCAGTTAATATGCTTCATGCTCCTCCCACCGTGCAGGGTTTTTGGGTGTGGGATAAGTCATGAAAACACACCTCCACCACAGCGTGTTACCAAATACACACAGAAGAAATCTTTAGGATTAATACTGTGAATGATATTTTACAGCACACATGCTTCATATTACCTCTATAATCAGCAATAGGTGCCTAATGAAAAACCTTCACTGCTACTATTGGAAAAAAGCCCAGTGGTACCCAGAGACAGTCAAGCAGCTGCTTTTCACACGCCTGAAGGGTGGTGCTGTGTCCCCAGTCTCTCATGGTAAAATAAGTTTTTCTATTGTAATTTATTATCAGCACAGTCCAGTGTGGGTGCAGTAAAAGAGTGCTGATCTGGCACCTCCGAGCATCTGATGCTTTAAATGGTGCTGGGGAAGACTGGTTCTGCTGTTATTACAGCAGCGTATGCATTAGGAACCAAGCTGCAATGGGTTCTAGAGAACACACAGCGCCGTCCTCCCTTTAGATCTACTGGGCCCAGAGCAGGGACGGTACGACACTACTGTGCACTGTGGACAGATCGCAGTCACATCTTTCTGTGTGTTACATCAGGTCTAGTGCAAAAGACTTCAAAAAGTTTCTGTATACTTGGCTGATTCATTTATACAATCTCTGGGCTGGAGCCAAATTCCTTGTATTTTTGATAATACTTGGCTATAAAGTTTATGCTTATGCTCTTCTGGGTGGAGGTTCCTTTAGGAATCAGACTAAATGCAATTTGTTTATTGAAGACAGACAGATAGAAAGATACTAAGACTGTAGTTTCAAGGACGTTCAAATGGAAGACATGAAACTCATCAGAAGTGTCTCTTCTCAGTCTCTCAATCAGTTTTGGGCTATATTATGAAGGGTATTGTATATAGCCACTGATCTGTGGGGGGGTGAAATGAGATGAGGTTTTGCTTCATATCCTCTTTTAATTAATATCATTATCTACTGTCCCCTATCCAGCACAACACCCCCAAAGACACACATGTGAAGCAGCTCTGAGGCTCCACTGATGTGGGGTGGCAGAGCCGGGTACATACAGACAACATCAGAGCCGCATCAAGCTGATGTAAAGCCATATAGTAGTTATCAACCAACAGCAGCACCAACAATCACACTGTCTAAACACGCTCAAACACACACACACACACAGACCAACTGATGCAAAACAAGAATGTTTTCTTTGTCATGTTAATCGGTTCCTTAGGGGTTGGTTGCCACAGTGAAGTAAGGAATAAATTACATAGCAGAACTAGTACATACAGATGGTTCACTCTATTCAGTCCTTCACTCTCACCTTGCCTTCTTTTATTCTGCTTGCAGCTTCTTTATTATTATGTCTTATTTCTCTTCAGTCCCTCGCTCCTATTTTCTCATTACCTTCTTCTTTTTTTTACACATTTAATCTTTTTTTCTATACCCCACCAAACTGAAATGGCTACTGGGAGTGTACTGGTAAACAAGAGTAAGGCTGTGCATCCTGGAACAGGATCTCTGAGAGGTTTTTCACAAACCTACACACAGAAAAGTTGTGCAGGTTTGAACACAGTTTCTTTTACTTGAAAGTCACATCGATAACATACACACTCATCCAGAGGCTTACCTTGTATCCCTGGTTAATGCCGTTAATGAACTGCTGAGGTGGAGGGTTCCATGTGAAGCGGATGGTAGTCGAGTTGAGAGCTACAACTTCTACTTCCTGCGGTGGTGCAGTGGGAACTAAACACAGACACAGGGCACAAACAGTGGCTTCACCAAGAGAAAGAGAGAGTGCTTAGACTCACTGGGAGAGCACATGCAGTTACAGACTTGGAGCCCTATGCTCCAGAAATAAAACTCAGTGATTTGCTTGTGACTTGCTTTTTCAACAACTACTGGTTTTAAATATCTCATACATGTAGAGATTCAGTTCATTTTTTATAAATAATTCTACGTTTGCAAAAGCTAAATGCCAAACCTGCACTTCTACTCTTTGCTGCTAATTGATCTAATTTCTCAATAAAATTCATCCCATCTATTATAATTTACATGTATGTGTTTTGCATATTATTATCTTGGGAATGGTTGTTCATAAAAATAATGGTCAAAATCAAAGCAGTAGAGGTCAGAATATGCTGCTTTTAAGGTTTTAGTGCTAAACAGCTCCAAAAACGCTGGGTCCCATTATCTTCCTATCACCTGGAAATAGTCTTTCATTAGGAGCTCAATGTGTCTAATTGCTACTTCTTTCAAACCCTACACTCCACTTTGTAATGTAGGCTTTCTGTAAAAAAACAAAAGTCCCAGGCTGAAGCCAAAATAACCCTGGTGACATCACTTTAACATTATTAGGTCTGTTTTTAACCTTTAAAGATCTCCCTCTAGAGCCAAATAAAACAGAACTGCTTCCACAGGCTACACTCGCCGTGTACACCTCAAGATGGGTAAAGTAAGCTTCACGTGTTAGCTCAAGGGGACTGCACCTTTAACTGATACTTCTCTTCTTTCCATGGAAAAATCATTTACTGGTAATTTTTTAATAACTGTGGCACTCAAGTGTTCCTGGTGTGTACAGTAGGGACGTAATGATACCACCAACTCACAGTACAATATTACCATGATAAAAAGTCCACAATACGATGTTTATCACATTAAAAACAAAGAAAAAAGATGAAACAAATGCCTCATACTCAATAATAAATGTATATAAAAGATAATGCGGCAGTTGGTAGCAGTCTTTTTATGAAACAAAATAAAACACACATAATAACACTGCAGTAGCTGGCTCTTGTAAATAAAACAAGTCATACTCACAGTGGAACACCAGTACGTCCTAGGCAGGTTTAACTTTGTCTGGTGGTCAGAGACCAGAATCACCCCAACAAATGGGGGCAGTAGTGAGCAATTTGCTCCTTGACGCACCAGAACAAGAAGATGCCGAACCAGGACAAGCCACATAAAGGTGAGACTTGTGTTTTACTGGAGGTATTTTTCAAACATCCTGGTCTACTTTCCAACAGAAAACTATTATGGGTGATTACTAATTGGTTGGTTTTGTATATGCATTGCCCGGTTTGCTTGCCCATCTCCGTTAAAGTGTTGTGCACAGTCATGCCCTGACTGTTTCTGTGAGATGTATTTATAACTGCCTCATTCCTAAATGGTGCTAGTATTGGCTTTGTTCTGCAGTATTTGCATGTTGCTATGCTTTTTCTCAGTTTCCTTCCCACCTGTGTCATTTCTTAAAACAGGAAAACTGACATGCTGCCGCACAACAGCTGTAAAAGTCGACGATGGCGCATCCACCGGTTCAAAATTGTGAGACCACGGTCACCATCCATGTCGCACGGCTTGCGCAATTATGGTCTACTGTATTATAAACTAGAACTCGCTGAGCTTTCTATTCAAACATTCAGCAATAACAGTTCAACAGTAGGAATCTGTAGTCAAACTAAACAAGAATATTATGTTTGAAGCATGTATTAACATGACCAAGGCATTCATCACCCACCAGAGACTGAGACAGAGAAGACAGAATGTCAAGAAATATGAGAAGTGGTGGAATATACTGTTCACATTGAAGCGGTTTTTCTTCTGATACGAAGGTTATTTGTTCAGCTTGGAGAGATTGACAGGCGGTAAGTGTGGTAAACAAGTGCTGAACATGTTTGGGTCGCACACGCTAGACACATTTTTACTTCATCCACTTTGAAACTGAACCACTGTCTCTTAGATTTATTTTCTTACTCTTCCTCTTTCTCTGTGTCAGCGTATGAATCTTTATGTTGAATCTATCAGACCAGCTGGTAAGTGAAAAAAAGAGACTCCACGATAACATTAAAGCCAGAAGAGAAACGTGTAACTGTGAAATAAGTGTGTGAATGTGTGAGTTTGTGGGCACATGTCATGGTGATTACACTGTAAGAGGTTTATGCTGATGCTAAAAAGCCACAAAGTCATATTGCACTGTTGCATGATGGGAATAACCTTTACATCTACAAGCCAAAGTGACCAAAAGATTCAAAGAGAGAGGTGAATACAGAGTGAAACATGCAGAGACCATAACAAAAAAAAAATAAAAACAGAAGGTAAGAGATGAGATGGATGAGGAGACAAAGAGGGAGACAAAAGAGTAACTGATGTTAAAGACGCTCTCTCCGCCCCCGCCATGCCGACAGTACTCCCGGGGACAAACTTCTAACCCCTCACAGCTCAAAGCTACAGATAAAACACTAAACCCTGTCCTCTGGGGGGAACTTAGTATGTGAGCGCGGCTGTAAGCGAGAAGAGAAATGTCATCTGAGTCCGACGCTGAGTTCAGCCACATCCACTCGCAAATATTGAGAGAGAAAATGAGCAATCCATGGCAGTCACTCCCCTTAAACCACATTAGAATAATTAATGAACCCAGTTCACTCTCCTGAGTCTATAAACCTGTCCTGAACCCTTGTAATAATAACAGTGAGCTTTATGCGCATGTGTGTGTGTGTGTGTGTAGCTCAGCCCTTCTTCAATAATGATGATTTACTATTGGAATAAAAGTCAGGACCAGAAGACCATGTGTTTAAAAAAGATTTAGCCCAACGACCACGTTCTCTCCTCTCCCTTTGCAGTCCTCACTTACATCCTTCCCTCCTTCACAACCACTTCATTGATCTACGTCTGAGAGAGCTGAGAGTGTGTCCCTCTGCGCAGCCATGTTTATTACAATAAACACGCTATTATGTATCCTATAATATATTTATAGAGCAGTGTACACGTTCTTCCTCCATGAACTCTCTCCAGCTTGTCCTGCAGCATCCCCAGGTGTCTGGACAGATGAACGCCTGCCCCTAAGGTCTCCTCCCAGTTGGTTGAAGCTAGTGAGTCTTCAAGGGGATGCCACGGGGGGAAGGGGGGGGGCTTTAACAAGCCTGAACTGACTCCTCTCAAGGCTAAGAGTGACGTCTGCCAGCCTGTGGAGATACCTCAATGCAGCTGCTTGTAACTGCGATCTCAGTCTTTGATCACGACCCAAAAAACGCATATAAAACTACAAACAGAGGAGGACGGCCTACCTAGTTACTAGTGCAACCCAGTTTCATGACAGAAAAGGCTCTGTGTGATGTGGGAGTCATCAAAGTGTACCTTTCTTTGTGGTATCTTCTAAGTCATGTAAAATGTTTTCTGTAATGTTCTCTGGTAGTGGCATTTTTTTTTTTGAAGTGACTGTATTTAGGTGGGAAACCTAAATACAGGCCTGATCCTCCTACTTATACATTTGTACTCTGATATTACCCTGATATTATTAACTATGAAGGTCTAAATTTACCTGAAAATCCCAAGAAAATGTAACAATTATCAGCAACATGTGTACATTTCTATCTACAGCTACAGGATTTTTCTTATGCTCACAGAGTCCATGAAATAATGCTCTCACTCTGTGTGTATACGTGGACTGATGACAGACATAATGTCTTTGAATATCTTGTGCATTTGCTGTGCCCTTAAGAAATAAGAAAACTAAAAATGTGTGTGCATCATTACTCACCTCCCTGCAGAGTGTACTCGGTGACAGGACTGCTGTACACACCCAGGCCGGCTCCAGTGTACGCAGCCACCTGGATCTGGTACTGTGTCCAGATGATCAGATCTTTGAGCAGACAGTAGTTGGTCTCTGGGCTGCTGATGTTCTTCTCCTGGTAGTCCCCTGGCAGCCCTGCCAGACGGTACCTACACACAGTGATACACAAACACTTGTAAATACAATGGTTTGAAACAAAACAAGCAAGGAACATAAGCAAGTGATGCAGCATAAGTCAAAGTACACAGACAAATGTAATATGGTAGAGTAGATCAGCCATTAATCATAGGGGCTGATGGTTGGTTCCCTGGCTATATTTAGGTGTCCTTGAGCAAGAAAATAAACCTAGAGTTGCTCCTGATATATGTATATGCATGGACAAAAAAAAATGTAAGCTTCTTTGGACAAAAGCAGGTAATGAATTAATGTAACATTACCAAACTGATTCATTTTATTATACTTTATTAATGCCTATTGGGAGGTTTCTTACTAATTGTGGCATTGTCAGGCCACCAGGGACAACTAGGGATTCAGTGTTTTGCCCAAGGACACTCTGACATGTGGACTGGGGAGACCGGGAATCAAACCACCAAACGTCTGATTAGGAGATGACTGCTCTACCACCTGAGCCACAGTCACCTCCAACGTATTGATAGGAAGATGTTCCCCTTCTAAAAAGACTTTGCGTGCAGATTATAATATAGAATAATAATAATAATACTGGTGTACATACAGTGGGTACAGAAAGTATTCAGACCCCCTTAAATTTTTCACTCTTTGTTATATTGCAGCCATATGCTAAAATCATTTAAGTTCATTTTTTTCCTCATTAATGTACACACAGCACCCCATATTGACAGAAAAACACAGAATTTTTGACATTTTTGCAGATTTATTAAAAAAGAAAAACTGAAATATCACATGGTCATAAGTATTCAGACCCTTTGCTCAGTATTTAGTAGAAGCACCCTTTTGAGCTAATACAGCCATGAGTCTTTTTGGGAATGATGCAACAAGTTTTTCACACCTGCATTTGGGGATCCTCTGCCATTCCTCCTTGCAGATCCTCGCCAGTTCTGTCAGGTTGGATGGTAAACATTGGTGGACAGCCATTTTCAGGTCTCTCCAGAGATGCTAAATTGGGTTTAAGTCAGGGCTCTGGCTGGGCCATTCAAGAACAGTCACAGAGTTGTTGTAAAGCCACTCCTTCGTTACTTTAGCTGTGTGCTTAGGGTCATTGTCTCGTTGGAAGGTGAACCTTCGGCCCAGTATGAGGTTCTGAGCACTCTGGAGAAGGTTTTCGTCCAGGATATCCCTGTACCTGGCCCCATTCACCCTTCCCTCGATTGCAACCAGTCGTCCTGGCCCTGCAGCTGAAAAACACCCCCATAGCATGATGCTGCCACCACCATGCTTCACTGTTGGGACAGAGGCTTCCGTCAGGGCACTCTGCCCTAAAGCCCCGACTGGTGGAGGGCTGCAGCGGTGGTTGACTTTCTACAACTTTCTCCCATCTCCCGACTGCATCTCTGGAGCTCAGCCACAGTCATCTTTGGGTTCTTTTGTACCTCTCTCACCAAGGCTCTTCTCCCCCGATAGCTCAGTTTGGCCGGACGGCCAGCTCTAGGAAGGGTTCTGGTTGTCCCAAACGTCTTCCATTTAAGGATTATGGAGGCCACTGTGCTCTTTGGAACCTTAAGTGCAGCAGAAATTTTTTTGTAACCTTGGCCAGATCTGTGCCTTGCCACAATTCTGTCTGAGCTCTTCAGGCAGTTCCTTTGACCTCATGATTCTCATTTGCTCTGACATGCACTGTGAGCTGTAGGGTCTTGTATAGACAGGTGTGTGGCTTTCCTAATCACGTTCAATCAGTATAATCAAACACAGCTGGACTCAAATGAAGGTGTAGAACCATCTCAGGGATGATCAGCAGAAATGGACAGCACCTAAGTTAAATATATGAGTGTCACAGCAAAGGGTCTGAATACTTATGACCCTGTGATATTTCAGTTTTTCTTTTTTAATAAATCTGCTAAAATGTCAAACATTCTGTGTTTTTCTGTCAATATGGGGTGCTGTGTGTACATTAATGAGGAAAAAAATGAACTTAAATGATTTTAGCATATGGCTGCAATATAACAAAGAGTGAAAAATTTAAGGGGGTCTGAATACTTTCTGTACCCACTGTACTGTAACTGAATACACATTTTGAAATTCAAAAGTTTACTTAAGCTGCATTTCCACTCTCAGGACCTAACGAGCAGTGTACTCTGTACTTTGCCATGCATAGCCGTCCTGCTTTGCTTTTCCACTTCTATTTCCTCTATGCTGGTCTATGTTTAAAGACCACATACGCACTCAGGAACAAACGACATGAAGGATCACTCTATAGTGGAACAATCAGCCAGTAAGGGAGACGGTGAGAGCAATTTATCAAACATCTGTTGAACAAGTGTTGAACAAGTGGAACACAAAGGTGCAGAAATGTGACGTCTCTGCTGCTCTGCCCACGATTCACTCCCTGAAGTCCCTGTTCTACCCCTGAAGACCAGACATTTAACCAATCACAGCCACACCGACTCCCCCTCGTGCTCCTGGAACACATCTCCAAAGCAGGCAGAGCGCAGTGGAAACAAACGCAGAACCCGAGACAAACGTTACTCAGCTCAACATGTTTCGATAGATTCCTATAATAGAAAAACCCTTTTTGACTTGTATCATTTATGTTGGCCATTTGAGGCAGAGACACGGCGCTGAATGATTCTCTCTTCCTGTGGAGTCACTTGAATCACATCAAAATCCCTAAAGAATAGAAAAAAAAAACCTTCAATGCCAGGTAGACTTCTCTGAATAGTGCAACTTCAAGGGCTTCACTTTAGTGCATGTGATATAAATGTCCCTATAAAAGGATATATGACCTGACTAGTCTGGGAGGTGTAACACCACTTAGGTATTGTACATATCTGATGGAGCTGGATGGAGTAATAATCCACGTCAGCATTTTAACATAGAGCCTATTTAATGTAACAGGACATTCCAATGTCTTCCCAGCTCAGTCGGCGCCCTATCACACATGCATACTGTACATACACACACACACACACACACACACACATATATACAGTACAACACAGTCATACACACAAACATACACAAAGTGAGGGGTGCCGCAGGCCGACGGGGGGAGGAGGTAACCCCTTCCACCACTTGCTCCACTTGCTCAGTCTGGGAGAAGAGAGGGAGGTGGAAGGATGGAGAAGAGAAAGCTGGAGAAGGATGAAGAGAGCGAGGATCTGCCAGCTGATCCAACAAGGAGAAAGGATAATGCTGCCTCTAAAGCTGAAGTGACACAGTGGACATGTATGAATACGCATTTCTATTTTGAACTGATGTCTGAAGCGGAGGTAGATAACACAATGAATCAGGATAATTACCTGATAACTTCTCCCGCAATTATATGCAAATTTGTGTGATGACACTGATGACAGTTTAATTACACGTGGTGTGTCAACGTTAAGGACGACGGACCACGGACAGCCAGAGCATTTGTAAAGAGTACTTATGTCTGTGATAGGGACAGGAAGGAGGAGAGACAACAAGGATTGTTTCTGTAGGTTTTAACTCAATTACACTTTATATTTTCATATATTATTGTTTAATTTATCAAATCTCAGAAAATAGCCATAAATTACTATTACAAGATGATGTGGCTATTTCCTTAGAGAATGAATTAAACAGATAACCGATAACAGATTGCCTGTGTAGATACTGCCAGCACTATCCCGTTAAAATGCTGCACAATGATAAAAGAAAAAAAAAAACACACCAGATAAAACACTGTTACACGGCGACTTGTTTAAAATAGCCAGAAATAAAACACTACTTTATTTGAACAGCCATTATTTTGCACACAACACTTGTCACCTTCTGACCCGAGACAACAATAGATACTCTTGAACATTTTGTGAAAAGCCTAGATAAAACCTGACACAGCGCATGTTCCATGACTGGAATGTATATTTGTATATTCCTCACACATGAACACATGTTGTCCCTTTTCTGACATGGAGGGAAAATAGGCAACACAGAAAACTCTGTAAATAGCCTCTGAGTATGGCCTAATACCCGAGGTAGTTTATGTTACGTATGTAAGAGACAACAGCAGAGCAGTTGTAATGCTAATTCTGATGTCCTGTCTTTCATCTTTATAGTCCCACACATCTCAAACACATCTGAAATTAAATTGTGTGTGGCTCTCTGCCTCACTGCAGCTGTCTTTACCTACTGTTTATTACTAGTGCATTGATTTAGAGCTGCAGTATGTCACTGGTGGCCAGTTGTACTAACCAGTTACTGAAGGTTAATCCACATCTTCCACTGCAAATCAGCTACAAAAGTTTTAAGAGGTAAAGTACTATAATAATTCTGCTAAGCTGCTGGAGGGATGAACACCATTCTTCCAAAAGATATTCGCTCATGTGGTGTTTTGATGGTGAAGACGCTGTTTAATTAACATGCCGACCCTAAATCTCCCCGTCTATACAGTACAAGTGTATATGTATATGTCTACCTGAGAACATATCCTCGAAGTAGTCCATTGAGCTGGGGTTCTGGTGGAGGCTGCCACTGGACCATGATGGACTGGTTTGTCCGCCCACTGGCTACAATATTCTTCGGAGGAGCGCTAGGCGCCTCCTCTCTCAGCATCAATCTAACACACACACACACACACAAATAAAGAGAAAGAGAGAGCAAAAGAGACAAATGAGTTTAAGTTTATCCTGTGTCTTGTAATGAGAATATCAGTACTGGTGAAGAAATGAAGGCACAGAATCAGTTCCTTTCATGGGGCTTTCAGAATATCACTAGTACGGACAATTTGCACAGGAACAGCATATTAGATAAGCTGGACCAAAAGGAATTTTATAGTAATTCTCTTTCCCAACCTGGTTTTGTCTAGTCTGGGGTCAGACTGTGTTTGTCACTGGAGAGACACAAAACAGAGGTGCAACTTATCATCTCCCAGCTTAAACAGCTCTGTTGAATTCTTATTGAACGCCGTGCTCATCACTCTTATCCCGCGTTCTTCTGGTGTATCTTGCAATTTCATTTTAATTCATTTGTTTTTCATCTCTGGCTATATTGGTCATTTATTTCAAGCAAAACGCTGCTACTGATGGAGACGTTTAACGCATCACTTCCAGTGTGCCAGAGGATTTCTCCTGGGAATGATCAAGCTGACACTGGGTGTTTAAAACAACAAATGTAAAAGTGTTCACGGACTCAGTGTGGGGTGGATTCACTGGAAGCTTAGAACAACAATTGGGATTACTGTTTACATTCTGTCTTATTTCACGCCTTTTAACTCGAGGTTTTCCTACTTATGATTCATTTATTCTCCAGCTAGTTTCTGTTTCGACCTCAACCCTACCACAATATCCCCAGCAGGCCCAGCTATACAGTGTGACAGCAACAGATAGTTAAATCACTATTAGTAGAGAATGAGCCAAGAGCTGGTCATTTTATTTCTAGTGGGACAGTATGATCCTTCACTCTCTCTGCACTCTCCCTCCCTCGTCTGCCTCTCCAACCCTTTTTTCATCTTTCCTTTGACATCCTGAACTACATCTCCATTTTTCCTCCGCTCTCTGCAAACTATAACCTTTCATCCATCATGTCCTTTGGCCTCAATTATTTCATCCTTCTGTCTTTTACTCATCTCCTCTTCCATTCTGTTAACCCCCCAAAAGCCCCTATCGTGATTAAAGCTCCCCGGCCGCTCATGGATGAGCACACAAGCTGAGCAGGTCAGCCTCCGACTTTACTTTAAGCAGCTCGGCTAACGTAATCTGAGCATATCTGCTCACATACACACACATATGTGAACACACCAAGCAAATTTGTCTCGGTTTAAGTTAAACTGCTACATCCGATGGTCTTTTCCCTTCCACGGATTATGTCTGGAGAGTTACATTACCTTTGCCTCTGTGTCCCATCGCTCCCTGACTGATTCTCTATATGCTGCAGAGCCATTAGTCGTGGTATGGCTCTCTGTATTTGTACGTCTGACTCTGTAAGTGAATATAAATGTGTGTGCATATTTATATGCGTGCGAAAGCAGAGGGGTGTACACGGTTAGCTAGAGAGTTGCACAGACGGATATATGGCACAGACCAGTGGTTTTACAGCTGTGCTAGGCACTGTCAGAGAGCACCAGGTGCTGCAGGCATACACATGTACACACACACACACACACACTCACACAGGCTAATGGGCCTTGTGTGAATGAGATGGGCATTAGTGTAGCCATCTGGAAATTGGATCTATATAAACCTGAACTATGCCACTGCTTTTGACTAAAATTGATGATGCACATTAATGCACATACACAAATGCATGCTACACAAACAAACCCATACAGTCATCCAGTGCAAATATAACACACACAAATGCACAGTGACGCACTTTTATTCGATAACAGGAACACCTTGTGAATTGACTTAATTCTCTCCCATTTACAAATAAATATGTACAGGAATTAAAAGCAGAGATGA